ATACAATTAGCCACGCCAATTAGTATGCCAGCAAAGTTGGGCGACAAATCAATGTGATTGGTCAAAAAGCCTAGGGAAGCTGCCGAATTTACACCGATTAAGATAACAAGTAAACCAACTGCCAAACCGCTTTGATCTTCACGAAGATAACCCAATAATATGAGTGGCAACACCGGTACCCAGAAGCCGATAGTATTGAAAAGTTTACGACTCGTACGTATGTTGATTAAATTCCGTTTGATAAGAAAATCATTTAAGCCACAAAACGCAAAGGTCAAGAACATATTAACGAGGTACGGTAGCGCAGACATGAGAGCATTGCTCTTGATATCCTGTTTCAAGATATTCTTCAAATATGTTGGTATTTGTATGAGCATCATCCAAAAGCCCCATGCGAAAGAGCTTTGTGCGATTTGAAGGACTAAGAAAGGCACCGACGTGAGTATTTTAACCCATGGCGTTTTCGTTGCTCTTTGCTCCTCCTCTGGTTTGATAGACGTCACCAATGCTGATTCAATATATAATTTCTCATCTTCAGATATCCATTTGTAGTCGCTAGGTGTGTTGGCGCCCACAAAATACCACACAATAACCCACAACAAACTTACTAAACCGGAAATGTAGAAAATTCCAGGCCAGCCTAATGACGACGAGGCTATAGTACCGCTGAGAGCCATTATTATGACGCTACCGAATTGTACACCCGTATAGCAGAAGGTGCCGATCGAACCAAGTTCCTCGGGCGGCACCCACTTGGAGAGTAACGTGTGTGTTGAGGGAAAAATACAACCCTGCAACAAGCCTTGTGCCATACGCAACGCAAAGACCAATTTCCAGTCGCCTAAGCGCGCAGTAAGCGGTGTGAGCAGGCACAAAATACTGCTGAAGCCCACACTTAGGAGCACCATAATTTTACCTCCATATTTATGCGCCAACTGACCGCCAGGTATTTGTGTCACGAAATAGCCCCAGAAGAAACCACTCAGAATATATGATTTTGTTTGCTCCGACCAAGCATACTCCTGTGTAGGTGAATGATATAATTATAATTATATATATGTATTGAATAAACGGTATATGGAGATATATGATTTGCTATTGATATGTGGCTTTACCTCAAAATCCGGATTTGTTGCATTGCGGTCCGTCATAGCTACAATTGCCAATGAGAAATTAACTCGTTGCGAGAATGCCACAGTTAGACTTAGGAAAATCATGAAGCACTGCACATGACGAGCGCCAAAAACTGAGGCTGAAAGTTTAAAATACGAAAAAAATTTTATTTATCTTAGATCTTGAAAAAAGTTTTTATCATGTTTGGTTTTTTTTATACAAAAGTAGGCCAAGCGACGTATGAGAGAGTACTCCTAGTCACATATTTTGTGATTATACCTAATCTTCAAAGAAGATGTGTATAAATTTCTCAGCTGTTGGAAATTATTTAGTAGCAGACAGCAGCTTAGATGACACAGGATTTGCAATTAAAAAAATCAATGACAAAGAGAGTCTTTTTTTTTAATGAAAATCACAATCTTTTATGTAAAATGGCCGTTGATAACAAAACGTGACTTGATACGGATTCTCCGAGCAGTGTGCCAGACTGAGCAACCATTTGTAATTTGTTCCGTAGAGACCATTTGTACACGGAAGATGATCAATGTAGAGGACGTCAAAAATAAACGTTTACCACAAAATATGAAAAACGAGGCCTAAATTAGGGAACAGCACAATATTTTATGCTATATATGTAAATTTTTGTTTTAAAAGCAATCATTTTCAAACTGTAACATTAAAGTGTCTAGGACCTGTTAATACAAAAGTTACTGAGTTGTGTTGTTTCACTTAAAAGTGGTTGGTGCCACACACATTAAAAAAAATTGTTTAACTAATTCACATGCAAATCTGTAGAGCTGTCGTTAAGATAATAATTTCTAATACTATTGTTAGAATAAGTTAGGCATTACGGCTGATCACGTACGATTAGATTACGTATGAGTCCTCGGTGAAGCCAAAAATCCATGAAGATTAATTGCAATCCTTAGGAAATTATTCCAGTTTGTTCACTTGCATCCAAGGTGTTGCAGCCGTAGCAACGCAAAGGCGTGTCAACACGAAAGTGGCGAGATGATTATACCTCATCTTCTTCCGAAAAATTTCGACAGGCGAACTTACGATTATATCTCATAAAGTTAGTTTTTTAGTTAGTGTCATTTAACAAACCTTTATATTTATTATCAGTTATCCGCCTATTTTCCATTTAATATTCAGTTATTGTCACTTTTCGAACAGAATCGTACTTAAAGTTCACAAAGCACTAACTATTTGATGGACCCGCAACAAAACAAGTTGACTGAGCGAGATATGGAAACCATCTAGCAGTATTTGCTTATTTAAAAGTTAATATAGATTGAACAACGGAAATACGGTTAGGGTGGTTAAAAAAGTATTTTATATGCTATTTATTATCATTTTATTATAATCTTTGAAAATATTTTTTTTTTTTTTTTTAATTATTTTGAAATTTTTATTGAAATAGTTGCTACATATAATATTTTGAAATATTTGAACACAAAAATATTTTTACAGCTTGAACTGATATTATAGACTTTAAATGAGATTCCAAATAAAAAGACATTTAAAGTTCAAGCGACAAATGTCACCAGTCATTGAGTAATGGGTAGCTCAACTGGCAGTAGCTTCGGCTACACAGTCATACCGGAGACTCAACTCTAGCACCACGGGGAGCAGAATGCCCTTGGACTTCGGTTCAATCTGCTCATCGGGTTCGGCACTTTGGGGAGTATCGTGGTGGCTGTGGTTTAAACGTAAATGCTGGAAGAACTAAATTTCAGTTCGAAAAAAGAAGTTGCACAAGCAACTGGGTTCCGTACCCGAAAACGGAAGAGGTTTTAGGTCGGCCTCGGATCCTACCAAAATGGTCGGTGTGCCCCTACACACTGGCCACTGGTAACCAAATTAATACTTGCAAAATGCTCGTATTATTTGGGGCGCTTATCAACGGATTGTTTGGATACGTTGTGCTTTGGAGCACCGTGAGGTAAGGCCGTCGACCGCAGGTACTCACGTATAACACATTGGACGTTGTTTGGTGCGCTTTATGAGCTGGTGGAATCATTGGTTCGTACTTCTTCAAAAACGATGATGGCCAGAACGTTACAGTCAATGGTGATCGGTATAGAGCCATGACTACTAACTTTTTCATTTCTGAATCGAACAACCATGATGTCCAGGAGCTGTGGTTCCAACAAGACGGCGCAACATGTCACACAGCTCGTGCCACAATCGATTATTGAAAGACACGTTTGGTGAGCGCCTAATTTCACGTTTTGGACCTGTGAATTGGCCTCCAAGATCTTGTGATTTACACCGCTAGACTATTTTCTGTGGGGTTATGTAAAGTCATTGGTCTATACGCATAAGCCACAAACGCTTAACCATTTGGAAGACAACATTCGCCATGTTATTGCCGATATACGGTCACAAATGTTGGAAAAAGTCATCGAAAATTGGACGTCTAGATTGGACCACATCCGAGCCAGCCGTGGCGGTCATATGCCAGAAATCATATTGTAAATGTAATGCCACAAGATTATATTTCGGATAAATAAAATTCATGTCAATCGAATAATCCATCTTTGCTTTATTTCAATTTAAAGTTCTATACCTCTAAAAGAAACACCCGTTACTTACCATTTAGAAGATAATTTTTATCATATGCTTTCCTGAAAGGATTTGACACATAGATCTGAAGAAGGGACGTCACTGATGAGCCCTATTATTTAATTATCTTAGATAGTTATGTAAGTATTCCCTTTATTTAGGGTAAGATAATAAATGTATGTATATTATATGCCAAGACAAATTCATAGAAATATTGTACATAGATCAATAATGTTAAAGTGACGAGCCTTAGTGACCTCAAAAATATTTAAAACCAAAATATTAGCAATAATTTCTCCTAAATTCTTGAATAAACTGAGTAAAACTACACATGTTCCTTGAGACCGTAAGACGTTCGGTATTGTAGATCGGCGGAATCGGACAACTGCCACGCCAGTCAAGATACAAAAGTGTTACTTCGAATAACGAATCGCAATAAGAAGGGGCATCTCTGGTTTGAAATTTTTTGTTAAGTGGGTGTAGCGCCGCCTCCAATAAGTTAATATGCATATCATAGAAACCACTAAAGTTAAATCAACCAAATTCACTCAGGACCAATATTTTCGGTGTTTCCTCTGAAACTGTGAAAATCGGTAAAATCGAATGATTTTCCAATCCCAATCACGGTTATATTGAGAGCTACTAAGAGTACGATAACTCATTAAATACATAAGTACGTGAGAAGCATTAAAATTCACATCCAAGATGGTGCAGAAGGACTTTTTAGGAGCTACCGTAAAATTGAACAATGGGCGTGGCAGCGCCCATCTTTAGGTGAAATCCTCTGTCTCAAGAACGGATGGACCAATTTTAACCAAACTCGGTACAAAAAATTCCCTTCACACTCGTCTATTATGTTATCAACATGTACGAAATCAAATGACAACTACAGTATCTTGTCATACCTATAACACAATTTTTAGTTCCATTTGATTACTTCACTTTAGAATTTATGAATCACGCATTAATAGAGATGTCGGGTTAAAACTTTCTACAAATAGAGTATTTAAACCATCTCACGTATAAAAATTGTCAAAATTGAATCGCAGCAAGGCCACAGATATCGAATATGTGGATGTTAGTGCCTTTGGCTGCTTTTTTACCAAAAATATCGATCAATCTGTGTACTCTACCATTTAAATTCGGAAAGAATGCATTATTTATAAATAAAATATAAAAATAAGTTAAATCAGGTCAATACTTAATATACTCAGATATACCTTTCACAAAGATTGTCAATCTTTTGGCTGAGTTTATACCGCATATATCGATCAAAAACTAAGATATCTTAGAAAAACTAGGTGTACTTATAATACAATAAAAAATACAGTTTAATGTCGAAACTGTTTGAAATCAGATTTATTGTGCTTTTATTAACCTTTTATATTATATTTTCGCTATTCTAGCAGAATTTATAGCAGTGAGAGAGTTATTTTCATAAAAATGCGTGAAAACATATTCTTTTCACAGGTATACTTGAGTAGTGCCAAAAGTCAATTCAATCAGTCCAGACCTTCCTACAACCATTGCATCGAACAATGGATTTGGAGTTTTTACGAAATTTGCAGTTTTGCCAGAATCTGAAGGCATGAAGTTCGGACACTTTGAAAGTGGCAAGAGTATAAAATGTTTAGCAACTCCCAAACTAGGACGACTAAGTTTGTTAATTATTATTATTGTTTTTTGTTGCTTTTCCTCAATTTCTGGTAAATATATTTTCAGATAATCAGATGATCTTAAGCATGTTTGTTGGATCTCTGATATCAGGAGTACTTCTGCATAAGATAGGTCTGTTTTTTCTGGATAGATTTGTTCTTATCAAAAGTTTGGTACTTTTTAAAATATTTCTTGAAGATATTTGGATATCAATAAAAAACACTGATTCGGTTGTCCGTGATTCTACTTTAAAAGTATTATTTGGTTTAGTTTCATGCCATTTGCGAAGATTTGTCGAAAACTTGGTATAAGAGAAAAAGAATGAATCAAATGAATGAAACAAGATTTAATAGTAACAGATTTCCGAATTCTATTCCATCAAATGACTGCAACTTCGGATACTTTTAAGTCGTGCTTTAAGCACTCGGTAAGACTTAGTTAGAATATCAAACTATTCAGGTTATGCATTGTTGCATTGATGCATTAGTTTCTGAAACTCATTTCAGCAAAAAAGCATAAATCATATGTATATGTACAACAGTATGTTTATAAAGTGTATAGAGGCTAATCACCCGTCAGACAAAGCATACGGTGAGGCAGTAATTGTTAAAAACACGCTTAGTTTCAAAAAACGAGAGAACATTAAATAATTAATAAATAAGCTGCCGCTATTCAAGTTAAATGTATGCATATTGATATATCTACTTGTAGTTAATAGCAGCAGTGTACTTTCACCAAGGTGACTATTTATACAAAATATTCTTCCAAAGTCTTGGTAACAACTTTATTGCTGGTGAGAACTCTAATGTTAAGCATCCTTCTTGGGGATCAAGACTGACTAACCCTAAGTACTAAAGGAAGTGGGCTATGTAAATGTTTAATTCTTCAACTATCTCTATTAGAAAACCCAGTATGTAGAATCCTCGAAAAAGACTAAACTTGCTAGATTTTGCTGTTTACAAGGCTATATTATAAAACCAACTTTACAATAAGAACAGCTTGGGCTCTGATCATTCGCCAATAATAAACGATTAGGGCTTGTGCATCGCATAAGGAGAAACCATATGAGATTATTACGCCCACTCCATTTAGAAATTGACTTGAGAAACGGATTAGCTTAGATATATCCTTTAAGTCTGGCGATGAGGTTGACTTAGCAGTGGAAAAGTTTACAAACCTCATTCAACAAAGCGGTATTTCATTCCACTTCACACGCGGAAGTCAAAAAATCATTTCTTCTTATTGAATTAAGTTAATTAAATAGAAAAGAATTCTCAGGAAAAGATGGCAAACAAGTCGGAATCCTCTCGACTAATGAAATTAAACAGTTTAATCAGGGCAATTAAAGTGTTGAAGTCAAAACTGCTTGAAATAAAAAATCACGTCACAACTGAGTATCTATAGAATCAAGATCTCTAAGCAAAACACTGAACATAACCTGTGGCGAACAAATATTCAAAGGGACGCACAAGGTGAAACATGGATATAGAAATTGGTTCTGGTTCATTTGCTTATTATTTATATTTAGTTTTCAGAACGAGCTTAATTGACACTATCGAAAACATCGTGGAAGTGTAAAATTTACAGCAATCGTCTTGTCAGACGACAGATCTTAAGAACATAAAACTAAAACAATCACCTGAATTTAATAAAATTGATGGACTAACGATTAAATACCTGCCTCAAAAATGCATGAGACTAGTACTTATTTATATTTACAATGCAATTTTCAGACCCAACTACTACCCAAGTTGATGAAAATGCGCTGAAACAAGAGTGATTATGAAGCGCCGTAAACCAGATGCAACAATATGCCCCTTCTCATACCGTCAAAATATCTGAGGTACTTGAGAACTGCGTAATTGTCCTCCTTAACATTAAACAGCTCTAAAATAAATAAAAATACCTGAAAGTAAAAACGGCAAATACCTTGGCGAATGTATATCTGAACAGAAGACTCACAGAAACAAAAAACAAATGGCAGCTTTGCAAGCGAATCCTCAAGCCAGTAAGAACGTATGCATTACAGACATAAATCTGCCTAATGTTAAATACGAAATTAGCTAATTAGCGAAGATGCCTAGAAAGACCGTCTAGCCATGAAAACATACTGCCAATAAATTTACAAGAGAACATTCTAAGAAGTGTAGTACTTGTCTTTTGTTTCACAAGATATCTTCACGAAATTTGACACTGGTACATTATTGTTCAAAGCAGCGTAACAATCTCCGTACAAATTGTACAGATCGGACAACTGTAGCACATAGCTACTCAGCAAACCGCACGACTAGGATAAAAAGCTTTTTATACAATTTTATGTTATAAGAAATGAACCAGTGAAGGTTATTTTTTCTTCGATGCAGTCAAAACTTATGTTTTTTCTTCCTTATTATAAAATTTGCTGATTATCAACAGGTAAATTGAAAGTAAAATATATTAACAAAAACATATAGAATATTAACAATTGTTTATAATGTACTTTGGGCGGTACCATTTGTGTGCAATATAATGATAATTAAGATGGTGACAAATAAATTTGAAAGAGACTCAAAAAATATAACTAAAAAAAAAAAATTTGCTTCGACCTTAACGACATAAATCAAACAAATCAAGTACTTTGCTGATTTCAAAAGTATTTTCCTCTAGTCACATTGTAATCAATGCGAGTAATTAAAGAAGGTCAATTTAGTAATGACAAACAAAAGTAAATTTACATACACTTTTATTACACTCTGCTTAATGCGATATTTCATAACTTTTTAAAAGCTATGAGGGTCAACTTAGTCGAACTTATAATACTACAATTAACTAATAACATCAGCACATTACAGTGCATAATTTGAATACGTAGTATTTGGCTCTAGTAGACTTCTTTCTCCACATTGACTGGCTCGAATTTTATGTGATCCCTTTGCTGCTGCAACTCCTTGGGATAGTTCCATTTCTGAATTTTGACTTGACCGAACAGAATAAATAGCAAATTGCCAATAAAGTAAAGGGCAGCGGTTATGTTGAATATGATGCGCCATTGATTAACGTTTTTCTAAAATTATCAAAAAAAAAAAAAAATAATAAAACACACGTCAAAAAATAATATATATATATATGAAAGAGCTTAAATTTTCGCTTACCGAATCAGTGACGATGAAGCCCACTAGCAGGGGTGCTATCACACCCATAAAATTCGCCATACAATTAGCCACGCCCATTAGTATGCCAGCAAAGTTGGGCGACAAATCAATGTGATTGGTCAAAAAGCCCAAGTAAGCAGCCGAATTTACACCGATTAAGATAACAAGTAAACCAACTGCCAAACCGCTTTGATCTTCACGAAGATAACCCAATAATATGAGTGGCAACACCGGTATCCAGAAGCCGATGGTATTGAAAAGTTTACGACTCGTACGTATGTTGATTAAATTCCGTTTGATAAGAAAATCATTTAAGCCACAAAACGCAAAGGTCAAGAACATATTAACGAGGTACGGTAGCGCAGACATGAGAGCATTGCTCTTGATATCCTGTTTCAAGATATTCTTCATATATGATGGTATTTGTATGAGCATCGTCCAAAAGCCCCATGCGAAAGAACTTTGCGCGATTAGAATGACTAAGAATGGCACCGACGTGAGTATCTTAACCCATGGCGTCTTCGTTGGTCTATGCTCCTCCTCTGGTTTGGTAGACGTCACCAATGCTGATTCAATATATAATTTCTCATCCTCAGATATCCATTTGTAGTCGCTGGGTGTGCTGGCGCCCACAAAATACCAAACAATAACCCACAACAAACTTACTAAACCGGAAATGTAGAAAATTCCAGGCCAGCCTAATGACGACGAGGCTATAGTACCGCTGAGAGCCATTATTATGACGCTACCGAATTGTACACCCGTATAGCAGAAGGTGCCGATCGAACCACGTTCCTCGGGCGGCACCCACTTGGAGAGTAACGTGTGTGTTGAGGGAAAAATACAACCCTGCAGCAAGCCTTGTGCCACACGCAACGCAAAGACCAATTTCCAATCGCCTAAGCGCGCTGTAAGCGGTGTGAGCATGCACAAAATACTGCTGAAGCCCACACTTAGGAGCACCATAATTTTACCTCCATATTTATGCGCCAACTGACCGCCAGGTATTTGTGTCACGAAGTAGCCCCAGAAGAAACCACTCAGAAGATATGATTTTGTTTGCTCCGACCAAGCATACTCCTGTGTAGGTGTAAGATATACTTATAAAAATATATATATATAATATATAAATATACATATATGTGGATATATAAAATTTGCTATTGATATGTGGCTTTACCTCAAAATCCGGATTTGTTGCATTCCGGTCCGTCATTGCTACAATTGCCACCGAAAAATTAACTCGTTGCGAGAAAGCCACAGTTAAACCTAGGAAAATCATGAAGCACTGCACATGACGAGCGCCAAAAAACGAGGCTGGAAATTTAAAATACGTTTTAGATTTAATTTTTTTTTTACACCTAAGTAGGCTCTACGATCTAAGAAATGGCGCTACTAATCACATATTTTGTGGTTATGCCTAACCCTCAAAGAACAGGTGTATGCAGTTCTCTATTGCCTCGATTGTCGGACAATGACGCAAAATGCGGAATTATATAAAATGAATTTGAGGAATTTGCTTTGTTTATAAATCCCCAATTTTTGACGAATAAAAGGCTGGTGAACCCGAAAAGACGGAATAACCATTCGCAAGTGATTTTCTAAATTCCGTAAAAGCCATTTATTTGTACACCGAATATAATCAGTGTAGTGTAAAAGTGTCAAAAGCCTGTTTATCAAATTTGGTTCAATTGGTCGAATAATTCCTGACTGATCTCTCTTAAAAGTGGTCCTTGTCACATACAGTATTGAAGTTATAAACTGATAAAAAACGTCTTTCACATTGTGGCGTTTCATATAACAGGGAATTATTTTGTCTAAATTTTGTCGGTGCAGCTTTAGTAGCTTATAACGCCCTATAATTAGTTATATATTATATATTTTTTCGATATTTAGAAACTTTGAATAAATTAGGCAGTACCAAGCAGCATATCTCATGTGAGCACTTAAAACTTTTATGAAGCCAACACTTCCTGAATCTGATCTCAACCCTTAGCCGATTAGTTTTGAATTCAGTTAGCATTACAAAGGTTGGTCAAAACGGAGGCGCTAATATGATAATATTATATAACGTTTTCAACCAGAAAACTGCGACAGTTGGCCTTCTACAATTATTTCTGTTATTTAAGTCCAGTTATTTAGTTTATTCCTTTAATGTGGGGTAACTAATTTTGAAAATTTACTTGATATTTTTAACTTTCTTAAATTTTAGAATCTTTATCTGATCTGTTCACGTTTGTAATACTCGCATTCCGGTTAAAAAAATTAAATCCTTTCATTTACTTATGTATTTCAAACTTTATTTTTTTAATTATTTTCACTTCATTTTCAAAAGATACAAAAAAATAAAACTCTAACGTTGTTGCTGTAGTTTATCCTTAATTTCTACACTTCACAAACCTTTTTTCTCACTTTCATATTTCGCACTTTTCTCCATTTTCACGGTTTGTTTTCAAAATTGCAGGTACAGAGAGTAAGGAGTTAAAATTTTTTGACATTTCCTGAATCCAAATTTGGCGCGTGCGAACACTTTGAGGAGTGACAAGCTTCTACAAATTTTCTCCGGCATCAAGTTACACCCCAGCTTCCACAGATATAACTGTCACAGACAAGTACATGAAGCGTGTTATTAAGAAAACTATGCGTACTTAAGAAAATAATCAAAACGATCATTATGAAGATTATAAATAAGTAGTAATTATAAAATATTTGAGAAGAACGCAGTATATAAAAGAGGATAGCTCTGGGTGACGTTAACACTTTTATCATCACAAATGTATTATTATAACATTTAAATTTAGTATCTACTTCATATTTATTAAAATGTGTACCACTTAGCTAGGCCACTTTTGTGGTAAAGACCTTTAATATAACGCTTTAAATACGCATATATTTATGCTCTGGCAACATGCTGCTACAGAGTATAATAGTTTTATTCACCTAACGGTTGTTTGTAACACCTGAAGTAATCGAGTCATATATAGGGTTATGTATATGTATGTATATAAATGATCAGTATGACTAGACGAGTTGAAGTCCAGGTGAGTGTATGTCCGTCTGTCCATCTGTCCTTGTAAGCACATAAAGCGCCGTTAATCGAAAAACTTTAAATTGCCATAACTAAGCACTGAATTAAGACATAGAACTGTAATTTGGTAAATCCTATACGAACTCCTACAGACAGTGTAAACATTAATAAAATCGTTCAAACTAACTGTTAAAAACTATTAAAAGCGCCATAAAGCAATAACTAAATACGCCAGAAACATTAAATTTTGCCTCCGAAAAGATATGAAAAAGCTATATATAAAGAGTTTCTAGCATTCCTATATTAGAGTACAAAAATGAGCGAAATCGGACTACAAGCACGCCACTTTCCCATACCTATAACACAATTTTAAATTCCATATGATTTTTTCACTTTCCAGTATTTAAATAAATCACCAGGTCATATAACGGGTTAAAACTTTGCAAAAATAGTGCCTTTGAGGTGTGCCAGCTAATGCCCAAAAATTGTCCATGTCGGACTGAAACGTTTCAAGCCTCCAGATGCCGAATATATGGACCCCAGTTCCTATTGTAAACTTTTTACCGAAAATATTAGTCAACCTGCGAGATATACTTTTGCAGTTCGAAAAGAATTTTCCGCGCCTTCTTGTATGTTGTGAAAGTATAAAATGTTCGGTTACACCCGAACTTAGCCCTTCCTTACTTGTTTTAGCATATAAATGTTATTTATACTTAGGCACAATTACTTTGGTGCATCCGATTTTTTTTCTACATACACAAACGCCGTAAGTTGGACTTGCAGATTAACGCATATTTATGAGTACGATTAAAACTTATCTCTTTGTTATATATACATACATACACGCCTCTCGCTTATCACCTGCACGTTGTCTAAATAATTATATATATACATAAAGGCATATATATATATATTAATAGTTATAGGTATATAATAGTAAGTAGGTAAATAACAGAGCATGTAAACATTAAAATGTCTTTGAAGCGCCAAGCACTTGAAGAGTTGCATTCCACCTCTTTCTGTTATATTCATAGCGAGAGCTAAGATCTATGCGTAGTGGAAAATTTTTACTTCAAAAGTACCGTTTAACGTAGACGTTCTGTAGTAAGCAAACCACGAAGTCACTTAAATGACACTAAAATATCTCACGTATTAACCGTTATAATCGGCATAACGGAGCGTAGAGAGTAATTAGTATATTCGGATTGCACAAACTATAACTATAAATCAAATTGTAGTTAAGAAAGCGTACCCACTCAATTTTATTAAAATTCTATAACGATATAATGGTTAGAGGACTTCCACTAAATCGATTTAATATATTCTTCTTGCCAGATCATATAACTATGAGGAAAAGTTGTGCGCTTTATTAAATAATATTTAATTTCGATCCGTACCAAATTTAATCCAATTTTCCATACACTTGCCTTCAGTAGCCTCAGCGACTTTTGCTTTTTTCGGTATCGGAGGAGCGCCATTCGCTAGATTAGTTAGACAGTTTCGTCGATGCCAATCTCGTTGCCAGTAATGATACGTATGAAGAATGTAAGATCCTCAGCTACGTTGTCAAGCACATTATTTGCGACTCCTACTCGAAATGTCGTTTCTGCAAAAGATTCAGGTCTTTTGGTGCAAGTCTATCATTGACACGCTTCATACCAAAAACATTAAACAAAATATGTTGACACGATCCGTAATAAATGTTGAGATAGGATAGTTGCTTACATGGCTAATTGTAAACAAAAGAGTCATTGGCCTCATAAAATGTAAAAAAAAATGGATCAGTGACCTCAAATGTACCTAAACAAAGAGGTCGTTGACCTCACAATGTAAACCAAGGGGTCATTGACTCCATAAAATGCAAACAAAAGGATCAACAAATGTTCTTGACTTGACTAAGTGTGAACAAAGGTTATGGACTTGGCTAAATGTGAACAAAAGCACTGTCAAATATCTTGGGACTATCCTAGACAAAAAACTAAGCTGGGGAAAGATTCTAAATCCCTTTGAATCTTGAACTCCTGCAGCAGCAGCCCATTGCCTCAAAGTGGGGTTTACAACCCCAGATTGTCTATTGACTCTATTGCCCTATACTAACATATGGTGCGGTGTGGTGATGGATGGCATTATCGAAGAAGTGCGGGCTTCTCTGAAATAGGTACAACGTGCCTGTTTGCTAGGAATTACGGGCGCAATGAAAACTACATAAGCAAAGGGTCTGGAGGTTATCCCATATATCCTACCAATACATGTTCCTCAGGTCTTGAAACACTTATTTTAGCATAGTTTTGATAGTGGACAATCCTAAGGGCAGGTACTTTTGGCTAAATTTAATTTATAATATTGTTTGGGTCATCACAGGACACCTGACTTTAAGATCCTACCAATCAGGTTTTTTACCAAATCCATTGAGTTGCTGAAGACTTAAGTTGATTAACACAAGCACAATGGACCTAATGATGATATAAGTGCCATTTCTTTCAATTCAGTTTAGTACTTATGTTACTGAGGTATGTGATAAAAAGCGGTTGCAATATTAAATTTTCATACCGATTCACATGTAACTTTGCATTTATTACAATTAAATTTAATGGTTCGTACTTTAAGCAGTTTTTAACCTAACATTTGTTTCAATTTTACTTCAGTAAAACAATCATGCGAAAGTATTATGTTTTAAACGAAAACCAAATGTTATGAAATAGAAATGTAAATATTTGAATAAGCATTAGGGTGCATATATACGAATATGTTCGACAAACAATAATTCTAACGTAACAGAAATTTTTCTTAAAAGATGTCAGCTCATTTAATGACGAAGCATTTTTTAAATAGCTGCTGTTTGCACACTACTGTGCTATTTCTTCATTTGCAATAACCCTGAAGAATTCAACATTGTGACGTATTTGCCCAAGCGAAAACATTTTATTTTATTATATTATACATTTTAATTTATTTAGATAAAAGTGCTGAAGCTTCACATCTCTTGACATTTGGTTTGTATGTACATACCATAAATTTTCTGCTATACATTTTGTTTTTTCTTATCACTATCAAATATTAAGCGAGCCACACTCTTTTTCAAGGAACGGTAAATATTTTATTAATTTAATCGCATAATATAATATAAGTTCGGGCCACATCACCTTTTATATAACAGGGTATACGGTAGAAAAATTATGCTCCCCTGCGCTGCCTGCTTCATTGAGGCATAGAATTACAATTCTAAAATCGTAGTCAGAACATTAAATGCTGGAACTGATAATACCAGGTATAGTTAATTTTTCAAGATATTAAATTACTTGATTTTTAAGGGTTAAACTTTTCATCCAGTTATAGGCTTCCAGACCATAAACATAATATATAATAATTACAGACCAAAAGTTAACATATTTTAGAAAAAAAAAATCGTATTGATTTTTGTTCTTTTAATATTATTGCTGGCCAATAACTACTCTAAAAATACAAGGATCTAATTTGATAATCTTGAGTTATTTTTACTATATTTAAACAAAAAATTATCTCAAATAAAAATAAAATAGGTATCACACCTGACTCATACTTATATAATATGATATGATACTTGTATAATAAGAACGGTAATTTTCGACAAACAAACATGAAACAAAAAAATGAAATAAACCAAAAAAAAAAAAAACAACGGGGTATAAAAAGGATTAAACAAAAACCTTTTACGCTTATAGCAAATAATTTTTTTATAACATTTTGGATAAGCATTATGCTCCAGTTCCGCTTGTTTGCTAAATGTAATTCAGATGCTTTCATCGTTCAGTATGTTGTTGTTCACCTATTTAGATAGAAATTTAGATTAGATATACTCTAAGTCACCTGCTACTGCTTGAACTTGGATATGCTTACGATTTGTGTCTCGTTTCACTGGCTCGTTCCAGGGCTGCAGTCTAGTGCTGCCTAAAGTTATAAACAGTAAATTCGCAATAAAGTAGTACAGTGCCATAATGATAAAAATAATACGCCACTGATTGGGGTTAGTCTGCAATTGGTACTCGTATTAGTAAATATTATATTAACGTATATTGATTCTGTCATACTCACCGTATCTGTCACAATAACTCCAACAATTAACGGTGCAATAATGCCCATTACATTAGCCGCACAGTTTGTAATGCCCATCAGTGTGCCTGCGAAATTCGGTGCTAAGTCCATATGATTCACAAGATAACCTAAAAAGGTTGCTGAGTCGGTACCCACACCCAAAGTTAATAGGACAATAGCTAAATCGGCATTATCTGCGTCGACGAACCCCAGTGCAATGATGGCCGCCATCGGTATCCACATGCCGATCGTGTTGAATATCTTACGACTAGCATTCATGCTTAACACCTTCGCTGACAGCAATACCTGAGCTAGGGCACAGAAACACAGCCCGAGTACCAGATTAGCGGTATATGGTAGAGCGGAGAGCAAGGCATTACTTTGGATATCTTTGTCGAACACATTCTTTATGTACGAGGGTATTTGTGTCATCATTGTCCAATAGCCAAAATTATAGGCACAATTGGCGATGAGTAGCACCCAAAATGGCACCGATGTGAATATGCTTAACCAAGGTGTTGGTAACTTAGCTGAGGTGGCATTATTCTCACTCTTAGAAATCATTGCTAATGCTGATTCGATGTAATTCCGCTCCTTTGTTGTAATTAATTTGCAACGACGCGGTGAATCAGCGCCCCACAGCCACCACACAAAAGACCAGATAATGCCACAACCGCCGGAAATATAAAAAATGCTCGGCCAACCATACTTTGAAGCAGCTAATGTGCCACTAATGCTCAATATGATGATCGTGCCGAATTGCGGCCCGGAAAAGCAAATTGTTGCAAGTATACCGCGTTCAGTTTGTGGCGCCCATTGGGATAAAAGCGTATGCGTCGAAGGATAAAGAGAACCTTGACAGAAGCCTTGCAAAAAGCGCAAGGCGCAAATGAATTGCCAATCGCCCAGTTGTGCGCTTAAGGGCGTAAATAAGGCGAGAAATCCAGAAATGCCTACACCGAAGAGGTACATTACTTTACCGCCAAAACGCTGTGCCAGCTGACCGCCTGGTATCTGCATGAGGACGTAACCCCAAAAGAAACTGCTTAGTACCAGTGACTTTGTTTGCTCCGACCAGGCGTACTCCTATATGTATTTCGTAGGCAATAATTGATATAATTAGAATTTTAACAACTAAGGAAGAGCTAAGTTCGGGTGCAACCGAACATTTTATACTTTCGCAACTTGCAAGGAGCAAAGCCGGGGTAAGTTCTTTTCAAATTTCAATAATACATCAGACAGGTTGATCGATACTTTTGGTAGAAAGTTCTCAATTGGAACCGGCGTCCACATATTCGGTATCTGGGGGCTTGAATAGTTATGGTCCGACTTGGAAAGTTGTTAGTCAGCAGGTGGCATACCTCAAAGGCACTAATCGTGCAAAGTTTTATCCGGAAGCAGTGTTTCGTTCTTTATTTGTATACTGGAAAGTGAAATAATCAGAATTCAGAATTAATCAGAAATTTAAAATTATGTTATATGGAAGGTAGGCTTTGTTGTAGTCTGATTTCGCCGATATTTGCAGAGTTATGTTGGAATGCCAGGATAATACTGCCCACTGAATTTGGTTGAATCGGTAGAGTAAGGCCCGAGATATGGGTTTTCATCTTAATGTGGGCGGTGTCACGTCCGTCGTCCAAATTTGACAACGATTCCTATAAAGCCCTACCATCTCGGGGGTAAAATTTTATGTTTTTGGCGCATTTAGTTATAGATTTTTACAAAACCGTTATATGGGTAGTAGGCAGGGTTATAATCTGATTTCACCCATTTTAGTGCTATCGAAAGAGCTGCGAGATTACAGTTTGGTAGCGCATTGTAGAGTTTTGTTATGACTCTTTATATATTTTCGATTAATGTTGCTTTGTGGGCGTGGCATTGGTCCAATTACACCCATCTGCAATACCGACCTTCTTACGGTGCCGAAAAACATGCGTATCTCGTTTTAGCAAGTTATCTCAATTTTTATTCAAGTTACAGTTTGCACAGACGGATGGACGAACAGACAGTCACCCAGATTTCAACTCGTGTCTTCATCCTGATCATCTACCTATATATGTATAACCCTATATCTAACTCGATTAGTTTTAGCTGACACAAACAACCGTTATATGAATAAAACTATTATACTCTGTAGCAACATGTTGCAAGAGTATAAAAATCATTGACGCACCGGAAAATCTGGATTTGTGGAATTCCGATCCATCATTACCACAATGGCCACTGAGAGATTGGCTCGTTGCATAAACGCCACACAGAAACCGAAAAATATCAGTATACTTTGCAAATGTCGCACGCCCAGTTTCGGACCTATTAAAAATATATAGCATTCGGGTACACATGGTAACGTCGAAAATTAGTGCGATGCCCGTCAGAATACGCTCTATACTTGCTGTTAGTTTCTGCCGCAGTCTCGTCAGAATTCTCAGCGATTATATCCTTCAATACCATTATCACAACTTTATTAATGTTAACTGCTTGGAGATACAATTAAAACTGAATACATTTAGCTGCATTTCTTTATCTCGCTCACTTTCTTATCGTTTAATATTTCAATACAGCACTTTAGAAATAATGTAAAATAACAGACACTTTAATTGTTTACTTTTAATAAACTCTTAATTAATTTATTAATCAAAACCTACACATACATTTTTATCTGTAGTGTCATAAACGTCATACAGCGCTTAATCTAGAATGAAATAGAAATGCTAACTATTCGGTTTGCGCGCTCAGTTTAATTGGACCCGATTGGTCCGAGTCTAATGTGATCAGATGGTATTTATTCGCCGTTTGGCTAGCCATTATTTGACAATAGCTAAGGGTTTCTCTGGTATTTTTGAAGCTCTGTTGGGGCATTTATTACGGCGTACTAGGGCTAATGAATTTTTAGCTGTTGGAATATCAGTGCTTATCGGTCGTTATCACATCTGAAATAGTTTACTTTAATAGTATTTCAATATTTTATGCGATTCGAATGGCAATATTGTTTTATACAAAGGGCCTTCATGTCCCACTTTACTGCATGCCTGAGCTACATAAAGTAGTACTTGTATTACTGAACAGTACTTTCACTGTTCGATAGCTTTTCTGATGTCGTTAATACTATTTATTTGTTTTACAGTGCCAAGTTTTACCGAATTGGTGGTAAAGAAGACATGTAGTATGAAAGATATCGACTATGTAAAGGCAATGTAACCGTGGAAGCCGAAGTACATTTTCGCGATGTCCATCTGCCTGTCTGTATATACGCGAACTAGACCCTCAGTGTCTAAGATATCGATATGAAATTTTACGCACATCCAGTCTTCCCAAGAAGCTGCTTATTTGTCGTAACCACCGATATCAGATCACTATAGCATATAGCTGTGATACAAGCTATCTAATCAAAATAAAGTTCTTGTGTTTAAAACTCTTTGTTGACAAGATATCGTCACCAAATTTGGCATGGATTATTGTGCAAAATAATACTATAATCTCCATATATAGCTCAGATCGAACTACATATTATAGCTTATAGCTGCCAATATCCATAATACTTTTCGCTGCACACGTAATGAAACTTTTTGAAGGAGGAAATCATTTGAGCCTGCAATATCACTTTGTTTAGACACAAAAGCGTTTGAGCTTTGGTCCCGCAAATATCTGGGAATCAGATACAATATGTACAAGGTGCGTTCCAAAGTAAACAGTAAAAAAGTAACAAAGTAAACTCTAGTGGCGCCATCTATTTGTCGACTAGTGTGTTAGAATCTGCTATCCTTTATCGACTTCCATTAAAAATTTCATGACATTTCATCTATTGGAAGTGAAGTTATTGCGTTTTAAGTGTCAGTATGTTTTTGTCATCGGTGCGAAAATGAGCTTCGAACAAAGAGCCAAAATTAAATTTTGTTTTAAAATTGGTAAAACTTTTACCGAAACGTTTCAATTGATGAAACAATTTTCAAAGTGGTCGTGAGGACATAAATGAGAAATGAGCCGAAACCCAAAAAATCGCGCCTGGAGAAGTCAAAAGTGAAGACAATGTTGATTTGTTTTTATGATTCGAAGGGTATTGTCCACAAAGAATTTGTTCCACCCGGCCAAAACGTTAATGCGGTATTCTACCTTGAAGTTTTAAAGCGTTTAGTGCGCCGCATTCGACGTGTTCGGCCCGAATATCGCGAAGATGGAAGTTGGCGTTTGTTGCACGATGATGCGCTGTCTCATCGATCGACGCTTGTGGCCGATTATTTGACCAAAAATCACATTTTAGCAATCAAGCACTCCCCGTATTCACCTGATATGGCACCGTGCGACTTCTACCTTTTCAGAAAAATGCATTTGTCGACGAAAGGAAAGCGTTATGCAGACGTGGAGGCCATTCAGAAGGCTTGCACCAGCATACTGGCGGCCATACCGGGCAACGAGCTAAGACATGCTTTTGAACCGTGCAAAAAGCTGTACTAAAGCAGAATGAGACTATTTTGAACAAAATTAATTGATTTTGCCGATAAAACCATTTGTTCTGTCTTTTTTTAAAAGTCCTGTTTACTTTGGAACACACCTTGTATTACTAACTGTGGTACTACTCTCGGATATGTCGTTTAACTCCTTGACTTAAAATCTGTTGCCATTAAGCGTTTCAAGCACATTTACAGTTTCGGGTTGATAATTTTTAGAAACTGACTGTTGCTTTTTACTTTATTTAAACTTTAAAATTATTCCAAATAAATATAAAATAACAGATGGAATTTAGACGGCTGATGATAAAATTTTTACATTTGATTCTGATAATAAAAATGGCAATTTAAGCCTAAAAAAATAAAGCAAAAAAAATAAAAACCAAATCAGCAACGAAAAAAAACCAAAGTAAAACAAAAACAACAAAAAAAAACTTAAACAAAAAAACTAATTATTATCATATCTAATACTTTTCTCATGACATTCCGAATTAGCATTAAACTCTATCTCCAGTTGTTTGCTAAATACAATGCACTTGCTTTCGTCATTCCACGCTTCGCTAAGCAACTATTTAAATAAAAATTTAGATTAGATATGCACCAAGTCACCTGCAATTGCTTGATCTTTAATACTTGTCTGCTCACAGTTGGCGTCTCGTTTCACCGGCTCGTTCCACGGCTGCAATTTAGTGCTGCCCAAAGTTATAAACACTAAATTACCAATAAAATAGAACAGTGCCATAATGTAAAATATTAAACGCCACTGATTGGGGTTTGTCTGTAATTGATATTAATAAATATTATTGTGACGTTTATTTTATTTTACATAATTACCGTATCTGTTACAATGACTCCAACAACTAACGGTGCAATAATGCTCATCAAAGTACCAGAGCCATTTGTAATGCCCATCAGTGTGCCGGCGAAATTCGGTGACAAGTCAATGTGATTCACAAATACACCCAAATATGGTGCTGAATTGGTGCCCACAGCTACAGTTAATAGAATAACGGCCAAATTGGCTCTATCGGCGTCGACGAACCCTAGCGCAATTATGGCCACCATCGGTATCCACATTCCGATCATGTTAAATATCTTACGACTAGCATTAATGCTCAACACCTTCGCTGACAGCAGTACCTGAGCAAGGACACAGAAACACAGACCGAGTACCAGATTAGCGGTGTATGGTAAGGCGGAGAGCAGGGCATTACTTTGGATATCCTTGTCGAGCACACTCTTTATATACGATGGTATTTGTGTCATCATTGTCCAATAGCCCCAATTGTAGCCACACTGCGTAATGACTATCGCACAAAATGGCACCGATGTGAATATGCTCAACCAAGGTGTTGATAACTTAGCTGTGGTGACATTATTCTCACTCTTAGAAATCATTGCTAATGCTGATTCGATGTAATTCCGCTCCTTTGTTGTAATTAATTTGCAACGACGCGGTGAATCAGCGCCCCACATCCACCACACAAAAGACCAGATAATGCCACAACCACCGGTTATATAAAAAATGCTCGGCCAACCATACTTTGAAGCAGCTAATGTGCCACTAATGCTCAATATAATGATCGTGCCGAATTGCGGCCCGGAAAAGCAAATTGTTGCAAGTATACCACGTTCAGCAGGTGGCGCCCATTGGGCTAAAATCGTATGCGTTGAAGGATATAAAGCAGCTTGACAGAAGCCTTGCAGAAATCGCAAGGCGCATGTCAATTGCCAATCGCCCAGTTGTGCGCTTAAGGGCGTAAATAAAGCCAGAAATCCAGAAATGTCGACACTGAAGAGTAACATTACTTTACCACCGAAACGTTGTGCCAGCTGACCGCCTGGTATCTGCATGAGGACGTAACCCCAAAAGAAGCTGCTTAATAGCAGTGACTTTGTTTGCTCCGACCAGGCATACTCCTGTAGGTGTGCAGTGGACAGAAATTGTTATAGTTAAAAAAAAAAGTTTAATATTATGGACGCACCGAAAAATCGGGGTTTGTGGAATTCCGATCCATCATTACCACAATGGCCACTGAGAGATTGACGCGTTGCATAAACGCCACACAGAATCCGAAAAATAACAGTATACTTTGTAAGTGTCGGACACCCAATTTTGGACCTATTAAAAATATAAAGCATTCGGGTACACATGGTAACGTCGAAAATTAGTGCGATGCCCGTCAGCATACGCTGTATACTTGCGGTCAGTGTCTTCCGCAGGCTCGTCCAAATTTTCAGCTGTTATATCTTTCAGGACCATTTTCACAACTTTACCAATGCTTTCGGCTTAGAGGTACAATTAAAACTGAACACATTAGCAGAGCTATCCTTTGAAATACAATTAAAAATCCATTAAGCTGTCTTTCTTATCGCCACACATTTCAATAAAGCACTATAGAAATCGTGTAGTATAACATACGTGGTATCTTAAATATTTACTTTTAATAAACTCTTAATTACCGCTCAAAAAGTTGAGCTGACAGTTTTATCGTTAGTAAAATGATTGTCATATACTGCTGAATTCAAACTTCAAACTGACACCCTATTTATTAATTAATTAATGCAATAATCCTGAGATTTTGGCTTTCATCATGAATAAGTTAAGTATCCTCTCTTAAAAAAGATTTTTCTAACAGTTAGTGTATATTATTGTATTGTATGTATTGTTCTGTATTAATAAACCAATTTATCAGTAAAGACAAAAAATGTAATAAGTCTTAAATTTATTTAGAACTAGACAAGCTCAAGATTGTGTTTGCGTACATTTTGACAGTACTACGTTGCCTTTTAGAAAGCTGATAGATCTCTTCGTTATAAGCGTTGTTATTACAGGATTGTAGCAAGACATTAGCTAAGTTTTGTGCTTTGACTAAATCTTGAAGAACATTTCGAATTGCAGACATAAATTGTTTGATACATTGGGTAAGGATGAAAATGCTAATAGCCAAGTAAATTTGTGTGTTTAGTTTTAACGCATATGTCAAAACTATTTGTGCCTACAATATATTGGAGGCAATCTTGAGATGGACTGCAGTTCGCCTCCAAGTTGGTCGGATAATGCTAAATGATCTCGAACCTTCAACTCTTGAACTCTTCCTTAGCTTTTGAGTTATACTATGAAAAGAATTAGCTCTGTTAGGATTTTGGTAGAATCTGATAGGGTACCAATTTAGGGAACCAATTTTTTATTATGGGCGATGGGTTAGCCCACAAAAGGTTAGAACAGCGTTACCCCAGTCGGATCATGGCTTAGATATTGAGGGAGCGTTCAAAAATGTCTTGCCGGAAACTGTTAAAACAGCTCTGGGCGGTTTTGGGCTCAAACACCTTATTTTTAGTTTTCTCTGCGACAGACTGAACGTGATGGATTAGAGTAGTGCGCGTAATCGGCGAAATATGTAAGGGCACTCCAAAAATTGGAGCTCTAGAGCAGATGCAAGGATGCCTCGGCGTCGTAACTAATTATGCAGCCGGAAGAGGCCTCGCTTTTCACCCAAATAAAACTGAGATGGTTTTATTTACTAGGAGATCGGTGCAGATGGGAAACATCCGCCTGCAGCATGTAGATATGGGGAAGTATTTAGGGACCATCCTAGATAGGAAGCTTTTATGGAAGCTTAATATCGAGGATATGGCAAGAAGGACATTAATTATCTGGTGGAGTAATCAAACCAATCGCCAATCATATGGAGTAAAGTCAGTCCATGTTGTTGGAAAATCCTGATATTAGTTATATGGGGACTAGGTTAAGCTTACTCACATATTTATATTGGGTAAATAGCTAAGGGAAGTATAGATCCGATACAACCTATTTTTGACATACAGAAATCTCACACTTTTGAACGATATTTTCTATAAAAAGTCAACTATATGTACTGGGATTCCCATATTCGGTAAATAGTGGCTTAAACAGTTTCCGTTCGATTTGGACAATTTTTACTCATAAAGGTGCATACTTTACAGTTATTATTGTTGCATAGTTTTATCCCGATACAATAATTTTTGTTTCATTTGCATACTAGAAAGTGAGAAAATCAGATGGAATTTAAAATTGTGATATAGGGGAAGGGGACGTGGTTGCAGTTCGTTTTCGCCCATTTTCGCACTGTAACGTAGAAATGTTAGAAGAACGTAACATATCGAATTTGGTTGAAATCGGTAGAGCAGGTTCCCCTAAACGTAAACGGCGGCACGCCGATTGTCGAATTATTGTCTCAGCCCCATGTTGCAAGAGTATAAAAAATAAAAAATAAAATCAAATAAAAGTAAAAAAACGTTCAACAAATAACTTATTATTTTCATATCTAATACTTTTTTCATGACATTCCGAATTGACATTATGCACAGTCTCCGTTTGTTTGCTAAATCCAATACACTTGCTTTCGTCATTCCGCGTTTTGTTGAAAAGCAATTTAAATAAGAATCTAGGTTAGATATGTTCTAGGTCACCTGCAACTGCTCGATCTTTGATATGCTCACTTTTGGCGCCTCGTTTTACTGGCTCGTTCCACGGCTGCAATTTAGTGCTACCCAAAGTTATAAACACTAAATTGCCAATAAAATAGAACACTGCCATAATGTAAAATATTAAACGCCACTGATTGGGGTTTGTCTGTAATTGGTACTCGTATTAGTAAATATAATATTTATTAACGTCTATTATTTCTGACAAACTCACCGTATCTGTCACAATGACTCCAACAACTAACGGTGCAATAATGCTCATCAAAGTAGCGCCAAAATTTGTAATGCCGATCAGTGTGCCGGCGAAATTCGGTGATAAGTCAATATGATTTACAAATCCACCCAAAAATGTTCCTGAGTTGGTGCCCACAGCTACAGTTAGTAGAATAACTGCCAAATCGACTCTATCGGCGTCGACGAACCCTAGCGCAATGATGGCCACCATCGGTATCCACATTCCGATCGTGTTGAATATCTTACGACTAGCATTAATGCTCAACACCTTCGCTGACAGCAGTACCTGAGCAAGGACACAGAAACATAGACCAAGTACCAGATTAGCAGTATATGGTAGCGCAGAGAGCAGGGCATTACTTTGGATATCCTTGTCAAGCACATTCTTTATGTACGAGGGTATTTGTGTCATCAATGTCCAATAGCCCCAATGGTAGGAACAACAGAGGATGTTTAACATCCAAAACGGCACCGATGTGAAAATGCTCAACCAAGGTGTTGATAACTTAGCTGCAGTGGAATTATTCTCACTCTTAGAAATCACTGCTAATGCTGATTCGATGTAATTCCGCTCCTTTGTTGTAATTAGTTTTGAACGACGTGGTGAATCAGCGCCCCATAGCAACCACACAAAAGACCAGATAAAGCCACAACCACCGGAAATATAAAAAATGCTCGGCCACCCATACTTTGAAGCGGCTAATATGCCACTTATGCTCAATATAATTATCGAGCCGAATTGCGGGCCGGAAAAGCAAATTGTTGCAAGTATACCACGTTCAGCAGGTGGCGCCCATTGGGCTAAAAGCGTATGCGTCGAAGGATATATGGAACCTTGACAGAAACCTTGCAGAAATCGCAAGGCGCATGTCAATTGCCAATCGCCCACTTGTGCGCTTAAGGGCGTCAATAAAGCCAGAAATCCAGAAATGCCAATACTGAAGAGCAACATTACTTTACCGCCGAAACGTCGGGCCAGCTGGCCGCTTGGTAACTGCACGAGGAGGTAACCCCAAAAAAAGCTACTAAGTACCAGTGACTTTGTTTGCTCCGACCAGGCATACTCCTGCAGGTGTGTCGTAGTTAATAATTGTTATAATAAAAAAACAATCTTAAAAATTATGGACGTACCGGAAAATTTGGATTTGTGGAATTCCGATCCATCATTGCCACAATGGCCACTGAGAGATTAACGCGTTGCATAAACGCCACACAGAAACCGAAAAATATCAGTATACTTTGTAAGTGTCGGACACCCAATTTCGGACCTATTAAAAATATAAAGCATTCGGGTACACATGGTAACGTCGAAAATTAGTGCGATGCCCGTCAGCATACGCTGTATACTTGCGGTCAGTGTCTTCCGCAGGCTCGTCCAAATTCTCAGGTGTTATATCTTTCAGGACCATTTTCACAACTTTACCAATGCTTTCGGCTTAGAGGTACAATTAAAACTGAACACATTAGCAGAGCTATCCTTTGAAATACAATTAAAAATCCATTAAGCTGTCTTTCTTATCGCCACACATTTCAATAAAGCACTATAGAAATCGTGTAGTATAACACACAAGGCACTTTAAATATTTACTTATAATAAACTCTTTATTAATTTACCGCTCATAAAGCTGAGCTGACAGTTTTATCGTTAATAAAATGATTGTCCTAAAGCGCTGACCTCGAACATCAAATTAATACCCTATTTGTTAATTTTGATATCTTCTGTGTAATGAAAAATTTTAGCCAAGATACACAAACAAAGAGCTTTTTTCATTTATAGTTAGTAATTTCGAAGCTGTATGTGACTCTGTATCCCTTTAGTTGTAGTCAAATTGATGCTATAATGCAGATATAAACCCTGAGATTTTGACTTTTTGACTACACTGTTAAAAGTTAGCTACAATATTTGAAATTAAAGTTGAACTTAATTGCTTTTACGTATGGTATTAGGCGGTACTGCCAATTTTGTCAGAATAACATAAATAAACACCGATCCCAGTTATTCAATTACACCAATTTTGTTTTTGTTTGAAATTAGTAAAAGTTTAGCTACAATCGTTTCCCAGAGCATGAAGAAAATAAATTATGTATATACTTGTATGGTATATCCGGGCTTAATTAGCAAGCATCACTTCCGCATCTTGCTCTCCGCGTCACCATCAACATCAAAGATTAACGCTGTATATTCTGAACCTATAACTGACTCAGAATTCTAAAGTTACAATTCCATCGCGACAAACAGACACAATATTTTATTCGCATAGACAATGAGAATTTGCAATGACGCAGACCCCTTTAGAGAGCGGGTAGATATCTTTTTTATAAGTGTTGTTATTACAATATTGTAGCAAGACATTAGCTAAGTTTTGCGCTTTGACTAAATCGTGAAGAATATTTTGCATTGTAGACATAAATTGTATCATACTTATTACATATTGGGTAAGGTTTAAAATCATACTTATATTACACAGGTCAACAAGAAAAAACTTGTTTTGCGCATGGGTTTACTTAATATATTCTGGTTACATAAGCAAATGTATGGTATATGGGACAGGGCGATTACAAATAGAGAATATTTGCTCTTTAAGCAATTTTAGCGATTTGACCATTTTTGATTATTGCGCCCATATTATGTCGGTTCATTTGGGCTGTTGTCGTTAAAAGAGAGGAAAGAGCCCGAGAAAAAGTGTTGCTTGGATCGCGCGTTGTGTACGCCAGTATACATATGTTTGCGAATTGTACAAGAATAATGTGTTTCATAATTTTATTTCCTGTAACAACCAGTACAAAATGTGTTAGGGAAGTTGTAAACGAGACTATGACTTGCGGTGAATTTACTAAAATGAGAGAGATATAGGTAAGGCAGGTTCAAGTTCGGTAAGGTTATCTTTTTTTATAATAACTATTAACTGTTTTGAAAGCATGAATTATATATAATTTGTTACGTTTTATGATGAGTTTGTAGTCCCAAAAATTTGAAGGGAACCAGGCCTTTTAAATATATGTGAGTACTTTTTTCCCGAAGTTACTTAGCAATGATGATAGGCTGGAGCAGTTTTAAGGCAGTGGTCTACGGTTCCCTTCGAAACCATAGAGCTGACAATTATGACGAGCTGATCACTGACATGATTTCGAATTTCTTCACCATCGCATGTAGAATCCACATATTAAATTCACATGTAAATACATTTCCACGCTTATATTTTGAGAGACGCTGCTGAAGCCAGTATACAGTATTGGGGACTGTAGTTGGGGGTCAATAGAAGAAAATTCGACGGAACATGCCAGTAGAGTGAAACTGTTTATTTTAAAACATTTGGACGCTATTTTAAAATATATAATGTAAAAATTAATCCTAAATGGATGCTCGGGTATCTTTTTATAAATTATTGATTTGTAAAATTTTGTGGTATTTTGATTGAGTTGAATTTTCCCATTTATTCCAAATAAAAGCGAATGCAAAACTTTTTATTCTTATTCTTAGTTTGAGATATAAAAGCAGCATAAGGATTTTTGACCCATGCGAAAAAATGCTATCGACCAGTGTTACCTACCTTTCATTACAACAAATAGGCTTTTACAGCTCTTCAGTTGATAAGAATAATAACATTTATTATTGTTTGATAAACATTATACATTTCCATTAAACTTTTCTTCATGTAAATTAGTATTTTAGTTTTATGTCGAAACTATTTGTGCCTACAATATATTGGAGGCGTTCTTAGTATGAATTGTAAGTCGCTTCTAAGTTGGTCGGGTAATGCTAAACGATATGAGACCTTCAACTCCTGGAAGGATTAGCACTTTCAAGAATTCGCTAGAACCTGTGTGGGGATCCAATCTGAATGAATAATTAAGTATTGCGTTTAGGGTGACTAACCCGTCCCAACTAATGGAGGTGAAAGATCGTTTCCTTCAGCTAGACTCATGAGGGGTTCTGTAGGGACAGCACCAAAGCTACATCAAACCGTTGCTGAGCAACATACTGAGAGCGAGAATGACATGGCAAGATCGAAAGCCACTGCGAAAAGGAGGAAGCCTCCCTTGAAAAGCGACCGCGAACAGGAGCTGCGCCAACCTTTAGTGAAATCACTAAATCGTTGGGCCTCACGTTTGACTGGCTGGACCATCCTTCGCAGGAGAGATTAAGGAGATTATTAGGTTTTGCAACGTACGGGTACGTGGAAGATGGTAAAACGAATACGTATAAAGGCCCAATCCAATGTAGTGTCAGTTTCTCTATTACTTCTTTTCAGAAATGCTGATGTGATGACGACAAAATTGAAATGAGGCTCTGGAGAATTATACCCAACCTCAGCATATATGCCACACGATACTCACTAAGAGCTTGGTTGAAGCGCATCTCCTCCTCAGATCTCAGACTGGAGGGTACTGTATTCTAGAAGCTCCGTCAAGCTCTTCCATGCGCGCCGGGGTTGAATTCATTGCTTACCACAGACGCGGTGGGCGAATGTATCAAAGTCTCCAGTTCGGCATATAAAGTTGCACTGGAGAGCTCCTATTCACTGAAAACACCGAAAGGACAATCGACGTCGCGGAAATCAGGGAGTCTTGACGACGATTATTTAACAAATTGAACTTTGAATAAAACGAAACTTGGAATATACTAACCCGAGATAAGAGGGGCAAAAATGTTTTCATGGAAAGCTTCTGGAAAAAAGTAGAGGATTATCATGAATCGTCAATGTTCAGGCGTATCCTTGCAAAGAACTCCATCACCATGCGTTATATTAAGAATGTATTTGAAAGTGAGCCTTGAGCAGTGAAGAAATGCATACCAGCTTCTCCTCCTCCGTACAGCATATGCGTTTGAGGCTGATCGACTTGCAGATAAGTGGGCGTTTTCCGAGGGACCATTTATCACAAGCGCATAACGCTGATTGTTAGGGTCGGTCAGTGGACACTATCCTGCATACTATCGTATTATGGCTAGAAGAGGAGAAAAGCTGGTGGAAGGGTTTATTGTCAGAAGCTTTCTATCAACTTCTGTTCTGTGGCCATAAAAAACGAAAAAGGAGTTATATATAACTATTATGATATTAATTTAAAAAAACTAAATATAGTAGTCTAAGTGAGATCCGCATCCTGAGCATCAGCCATCGAATCTAATCTAACCTTGGTATTGCTGACTGTGGTGCTACCCTTGGCAATGTCGTTTGATTTCTTGACTTTGGCATTTGGAGTGTTAAGTTAATGTTATTTTGAAATCTACTGTTGCCTTTTATGGGAGAACACAGATGGCTGATGACAAAAGTATTACTTCTGACACAGAAAATATAACCGGACAATTTTATGCAAAAAAAAAACACAAAACAAACCAAAAAACCAACAAATTAAATTAAATAAAATCTATCAAATAGAAAAACCTTAAAACATAAAAACTAATTATTCTCATATCTAATACATTTTCGATGACTTTCCGAATTGGCATTATGCTCCATCTCCGTTTGTTTGCTAAATGTAATGAAGATACTTTCGTCATTCCACATTTTGTTGAACACATATGCATGTATTTATATAAACATTTAGATTAGATATGCTCCAAGTCACCTGTAACTGCTTGATCTTTAATATGCTCATGATTTGTATCTCGTTTTACTGGCTCGTTCCACGTCTGCAATTTAGTGCTACCCAAAGTTATAAACACAAAATTGCCAATGAAATAGAACAATGCCATAATGATAAAAATAAAACGCCACTGGATTGGGTTTGTCTGCAATTGGTAGTCGTATTAGTAAATATTATAATTAAGTTTATTATTTTTCACAAACTCACCGTATCTGTCACAATGACTCCAACAACTAACGGTGCAATAATGCTCATCACATTAGCCGCACAGTTTGTAATGCCCATCAAAGTGCCTGCGAAATTCGGTGATAAGTCAATATGATTCACAAATCCACCCAAAAATGTTGCTGAGTTGGTGCCCACAGCTACAGTTAGTAGAATAACGGCCAAATCGGCTCTATGGACGTCGACGAACCCTAGCGCAATGATGGCCGCCATCGGTACCCACATTCCGATCGTGTTAAAGATCTTACGACTAGCATTTGTGCTTAACACCTTCGCTGACAGCAGTACCTGAGCAAGGACACAGAAACACAGACCGAGTACCAGATTAGCGGTATATGGTAAGGCGGAGAGCAGAGCATTACTTTGGATATCCTTGTCTAACACATTCTTTATGTACGAGGGTATTTGTGTCATCATTGTCCAATAGCCCCAAGTGTAGGAACTACAGAGAATGATTAACATCCAAAAGGGAACGGATGTGAATATGCTCAACCAAGGTGTTGGTAACTTAGCTGAGGTGGCATTATTCTCACTCTTAGAAACCACTGCTAATGCTGATTCGATGTAATTCCGCTCCTTTGTTGTAATTAGTTTTGAACGACGTGGTGAATCAGCGCCCCACAGCAACCACACAAAAGACCAGATAATGCCACAACCGCCGGAAATATAAAAAATGCTCGGCCACCCATACTTTGAAGCGGCTAGTATGCCACTTATGCTCAATATAATTATCGAGCCGAATTGCGGGCCGGAAAAGCAAATTGTTGCAAGTATACCACGTTCAGCAGGTGGCGCCCATTGGGCTAAAAGCGTATGCGTCGAAGGATATATGGAACCTTGACAGAAACCTTGCAAAAATCGCAAGACGCATGTCAATTGCCAATCGCCCAGTTGTGCGCTTAAGGGCGTCAATAAAGCCAGAAATCCAGAAATGCCGACACTGAAGAGTAACATTACTTTACCACCGAAACGTTGTGCCAGCTGACCGCTTGGTATCTGCACGAGGAAGTAGCCCCAAAAGAAGCTGCTTAGTAGCAGTGACTTTGTTTGCTCCGACCAGGCATACTCCTGTAGGTGTGCCGTAGACAATAATTGTTATAATGGAAAAAAAAAAATTTAAGTATTATGGACTCACCGGAAAATCTGGATTTGTGTAATTCCGATCCATCATTGCCACAATGGCCACTGAGAGATTTACGCGTTGCATAAACGCCACGCAGAAACCGAAAAATATCAGTATACTTTGCAAATGTCGCACGCCTAATTTCGGACCTAGTGAAAATATAAAGCATTCGGGTACACATGGTAATGTCGAAAATTTGTGCGATGCCCATCAGCATACCGCATTCTTACCAGAATTCTCGGTGGTTATATCTTTCGATGCCATTATCACAACTTTACTAATGTTTGCTGCTTGAAGATACTACCAAAACTGAATGCATTAGCATTTATTCTATACTTTAATAGCATAAGCATTACTTTGCTAATCTTTACGGACTTGAGATACAATTAAAAATCCATTAAGCTGCATTTCTTTTTATCGGTGACTTTTTTATCGTCTAATAATTTAATAAAGCACTATAGAAATCATGTAATATAATAGAGGTGGCACATTATATATATAATTTTCATAAACTCTTAATTAATTTAGTGCTCAAAAACGTGCGCGAGCCGTTATATTATTTAGTAGTTCCTATGAAGCTCTCGCTTTGTGCTTCTAGTGAGAGTAGGAAACTTACCATTTCGAATAATAGTTAATTTAATTTCAACATGAATCAAAACGTTACGATTGGAAATGGGTAACCGTGTATCGAGAAATAAGCATGCTGGAAAGTGTAAAATTCATGTAACATTAACACGAATTAACAACGCAAGAAAAGTTGTTATATTTTGATAGAGAACCAAATGATACCCATAATGATGGAGTCGGTTTTTTTCTGAGTAAAAATGCGAGCAAGCAACAATAAGGGCGAGATGTCAGCCACTTTCTCAAAAACTTCCCAGAGTGACAATATCATATGTATGCGAAACTTTAATGCAAAGAAGGGTTCGGCCAACAAAAGCTTCGAACACATTATTGGCAAACAAGGGCTCGGTGCGATCAGCACCAACAGTGAAATGTTAAAAAACCTTTGCAGTTCATATGATTTAGCAATTGGGGGTAAATTAAAAAACAGCGAAACACCTTCAATACAGCTCTTCAAGCATTTGACACATTCAAAGCCGAATATGTGGTCGATTTAGAAAGCATATTGGGTCACCGGTGTTAGGTTATTGGTGAGTTCCACCGCATCGCAGATTTAAAAAAGGAAATCTAGAAGCCATGTTCAACTATATAAAATTGCGAAAATTCTACAAAAGTTTGCTCACAAGCTCGAGATTGGAACCCCCAAGGAAGTCATAACAGAGGGCGTCCTAAGATCACGCGGAGGAAATCCGATGAATGCGGAAAATCGTGGTACCAATTAAAGTTGCTAGCAACAAAAAAGGGAGTAGATGGAAATGTTTCATTGACGCCCTATGCTCCAGTGGCAAATACAAAAAATGATGATTGTGATTTCTTAAAGCAACAGTGAAGTTTGAGCGATCTTAACATATTTTGTGAGCCGATCAAAGTATATATTTTATATTTTTTTCAAAAACTAATGTCACAAGAGCGTTGATGGTCCGTGTAGCGAAACTGGTCAGAAAAATTCATCGCTCTATTTATTTTCGAGAATTGGCTTGCTGTGCAGTTTTGCGGTTCTAGATGCTCAGTTTTGTCGAGTCGTGCGATATAGCAGAGCACACTGGTATAAATATTATTATATTTTTAAACAGCATAATTTGGGGCATATTTTCAGGCGTTCGCAAAAGTTTTCGTTAAGACTTTTGCGTAGGACTTTGATATTCGTTATTCGAAGAAATCATGAATGGATTTAAACCATATTAATATCTTATTACAAGTATCTTAAACTCACCTAGTTTCATTACTACATTTTGCTGCGTGTGTTCGATATATTTAAATGTATTAAAGCAACCTAATAAACTCTGAGATATATGTGGTGTTAACTCAAACAGAGGTCCAAAGTCCAAAATATTGGAAATATGAGAGAAAAGTAACTGGAGGTGAGGGCACCGTTATATTAGAGGTTGGGTTTTAAACCGATTTAAGCTAGTGGGTTAAGAAAACACTTAGCTTTTCTATAAAATCACACATATTAACCTAAATAAACTGTATTAAGCCAACTGAAAGGTCTGAAGTGACTACATAAGCTATATGGGGGGGTGGGCTGGTTTCATCTGCTTTTACTTTCTAGGGATCCGATTTCTTCTATTATTGCTCCACTAATTATTGTTATCAAAAAAAGAACGTTGTCATTAAACTAACAAAAGCAAAACTATTTATTCTTATATCTAATATTGTTTCCATGACATTCCGAATAAGCATTACACTCCATCTCCGCATTCTGTTTGTTGTTGTTCACATATTTAGATGCAAGTTCAGATTATTTATGTTCCAGGTCACCTGCAACTACTTGAAATTTGATATGCTCATGATTTGTGTCTCGTTTTACTGGCTCGTTCCACGGCTGCAATTTAGTGCTACCCAATGTTATAAAAAGTAAATTGCCAATAAAATAGTACAAAGCCATAATGATAAAAATAAAACGCCACTGAATTGGGTTTGTCTGCAATTGGTAGTCGTATTAGTAAATATTATAATTAAGTTTATTATTTTTCACAAACTCACCGTATCTGTCACAATGACTCCAACAACTAACGGTGCAATAATGCTCATCACATTAGCCGCACAGTTTGTAATGCCCATCAAAGTGCCTGCGAAATTCGGTGATAAGTCAATATGATTCACAAATCCACCCAAAAATGTTGCTGAGTTGGTGCCCACAGCTACAGTTAGTAGAATAACTGCCAAATCGGCGCTACCGGCGTCGACAAACCCCAGCGCAATGCTGGCCGCCATCGGTACCCACATTCCGATCGTGTTAAAGATCTTACGACTAGCATTTGTGCTTAACACCTTCGCTGACAGCAGTACCTGAGCAAGGCCACAGAAACACAGACCGAGTACCAGATTAGCGGTATATGGTAGCGCGGAGAGCAAAGCATTACTCTTGATATCCTTGCCAAATACATTCTTTATGTACGAGGGTATTTGTGTCATCAATGTCCAATAGCCCCAATTGTAGGCACAATTAGTGATGAGCAACACCCAGAATGGCAGCGATGTGAATATGCTTAACCAAGGTGTTGATAACTTAACTGCAGTGGAATTATTCTCACTTTTAGAAATCACTGCTAATGCTGATTCGATGTAATTTTGCTCCTTTGGTGTAATTATTTTGGATTGATGCGGTGAATCAGTGCCCCACAGCAACCACACAAAAGACCAGATAATGCCACAACCACCAGAAATATAGAAAATGCTCGGCCAACCATACTTTGAAGCAGCTAATGTGCCACTAATGCTCAATATGATAATTGTGCCGAATTGCGAGCCGGAAAAGCAAAGTGTTGCTAGTATACCACGTTCAGCAGGTGGCGCCCATCGGGCTAAAATCGTATGAGTTGAAGGGTATATAGAACCTTGACAGAAACCTTGCAGAAATCGCAAGGCGCATGTCAATCGCCAATCGCCCAGTTGGGCGCTTAAGGGCGTAAATAAAGCCAGAAACCCAGAAATGCCGACACTGAAGAGTAACATTACTTTACCGCCGAAACGTTGTGCCAATTGACCGCCTGGTATCTGCGTGAGGAAGTAGCCCCAAAAGAAGCTGCTTAATAGCAGTGACTTTGTTTGCTCCGACCAGGCATACTCCTGTAGGTGTGCCGTAGACAATAATTGTTATAATAAAAAAATTAATATTATGGACGCACCGGAAAATCTGGATTTGTGGAATTTCGATCCATCATTGCCACAATGGCTACTGAGAGATTAACGCGTTGCATAAACGCCACACAGAGACCGAAAAATATCAGTATACTTTGCAAATGTCGAACGCCCAATTTCGGACCTATTGAAAATATAATGCATTTGGTTACTTTATGTTATCGTCGAAAATTAGTGCGGTGCCCTTAAGCATAGGCTTTATACTTGCCACTAGTTTCTGCCGCATTCTCATCAGAGTTCTCAGCGGTTTTATCCTTCGCTACCATTATCACAACTTTACTAATGTTTACTGCTTGGAGATACAATTAAAACTGAATGCATTTAGTTGCATTTTATTATCTCACCAGCTTGCTTATCGTCTAAAATTTAAAAATAACAGTCAAGTATATAAAATATTTCAGTATCTACTAAATTTAATATACGTTAAATATTTACATTTAGTAAATATTAACATATCGTTAGTATCACTGTCATTTACCGCTAACCTGAAGCTTTAATTTAATGCTCTTTTTGTAAATTTTGGTTTCATATGGGGAGGTTTCTTATGAGAAAGGGATATAATGCAACAATTTTACCAGTATACACAAATATAGAACTTTTTTCATATGTAAGTAGTAGCTTGGAAGCTTAAAAAGTTTCAAAACTTTCACCCAGAGGTATGTAATTCTATAACTCCGTTAGGTCTAGTCAAATCAGGCTATCGAAATTTTAAGATATAGACGGCGCTAATTATCGAGAAACTATAGTATTTTCAACATTATTGCACGTATGGTTTTAAACGTAGAATCGCTAACAAAGACTTCATATTCAGGGAAAGATATTGGGAAATTTAATCGATGCATACCATTCACCGACTAAAAGCTCAATTTTAAATCCCAATCTAACACACTGTCACAACACTCCTACAGACTACAGTTAAACCAAATCTATTCATTACTTACATTTTATAGTTTAATTACTTACCGGGCTTTTTGAGTAAATATAATTATTTCTATTTACGTTGTCTACTGGCGCGCGATAGTAGACATTTTTTAAATAATTACCCATTTTAGGTATCCATGATCTATGCACTAGTAGGTATTTATTCAACAGAAACAAATTTACATTAATTTATACATACATACATGATTATTTACACCTAATTTAAATGCTTAGTTTATAAAAGTCACTTATGGATCCCACAGAGGTAATGTAAAAAGGTACATCAATGTGGAATAAAGTTAGTTAGAACTATTCAGCTGGATCATTCCATGGTTGTACGTTACAATCACCAAAAATTAGAAACACCATATTGCCCAAAATGTACAGGAACGAGGCCAAAAAGAACACTATACGCCATTGCTCAACGGATTTCTATAAAATAAAGTGATTACGTTGTTAATATATATTTGCAAATTAAAGGATTGTAGTGAGTGAGGTTCGGTTTTTTGGGTATTATCAGATGAAGATTAAATTAAAATGTCTTGTTGTAGAAAACAAAATCTTTTGTCTCCTTCTACCAACTTTAGTTTTCAACCAGTAATTCTAGTTTTCATTAGTTTGACAAGTAAGTCTGCAACGATGTGTAACAGAATTTACCTCATTAGTGACTATCAATGCCACTGTTAGTGGCGCCACAATTCCCGTTATGTTGGCTAAACAATTCGAAATGCCCATGAGGATACCAGCGAAGTTCGGTGATAAGTCAATATGATTGATTTGATAACCCAAATACGAAGCCGAGCTAACACCAACCGTTATCGTAAGTAAAGCGACTGCAGCAATTACATGATCCGCATTCACATAGCCGAGAGCAATTAGCGTTATTGCCGGTGTACCATGACCGATGGTGTTAAAGAGCTTCCTATTTGTATTTAAAGACATCCATTGACGCTTCTTAAACCACATGGACAACGCCGTAAATACAAAGCTGAGTACCCACATTGAAAAGTATGGTAGTGCGGATGAGAGTGCATTATTCTGAATATCCATATCTAAAATATTTTTCACATAGACCGGCATGTAGGTGAGCAAAGTCCACAGACCCCAATTATTGGTGCAGTGTACAGTCATGAGAGCCCAAAAAGGACATGATTTGAAGAATTCTGTCCACGGTGGATGCATTGATCGGCGCCTAAACTGCAACTCCGATGTGCCCCAATGTGAAGTTATAAGTTCGCGTTCACGCTCCGATAGCTGTCGACACTCTTTCGGTGAACTGCAACCGAAATACTTGAATATAGCGGCCCATAATAAACCCACACTGCCGGATAGGTAGAAAATACCGGGCCAACCTAAACGTGAGGCAGCAATTACGCCACTACTACCCAACATAACGAATGTACCAAACTGACAGCCCGAATATGTGCACGAACTCATTAGACCGCGCTCTTCCACCGGTGACCATTGCGAGAGTATCGTGTGCGTTGAGGGAAATACGGTGCCCTGAAATACGCCCTGCACTATGCGTGAAGCAAGCACCAGCTGCCAGCTGCCGATAGCTGCACATAATGGCGTTAATATGGCCAACAACGAACAACTGACAAGACTGATGAGCAACAATAATTTGCCACCACATCTGCGTGATAAATAGCCGGAAGGTACTTGTGAGGTGACATAACCGATGAAGAAGGAACTCAGCAGCAAACCCTTGATACGTTCATTCCAATTGTATTCCTAAAAAGGAGCGAGAGAACGAGGTGGTTAATGTGCGTAAATCACAACAGCCATAATCGATATTTTATATTACTTCGAAGTCTGGATTTGACGTCTTATCTGTCATTACAACGAGCGCTACCGACAGATTAACGCGCAGCGCATACACAACACACATTGTGCCGAAGAGCAAGAGCATTTGCAGATGTCGAACACCAAAGTGAGCTGCAAAGATGAACAAACCAGATTAAGATATAATTTCCTGATGCAAATAGTGTCCAAACTAAAAGAAAAGCATACTCATTTGCTTCTCGAAAGCAGTCGGAATTTTGCTTATATGGAACAATTTTTTTTGTTTTTTCGTAGCGAATTTTATTTGTTTGTTTTTTATTTTTTTTTTGCCGACAAATTTTTTTTATTGTTATGTTTTTCGAAAGTTGACATTTAAATTGGGAAAAGAGGTAAGGAAATTGAAAATTAAAGTTTTGGAAAATTAAGTTACAATAGAATTTTTAATTCTTTATTATTAAACTTTTTAGTTTTAAAGACTTTGGAAATTAATATTATCGCCGGTGTCGTCTAAGTCGGTTTTCTTATAAAGTAAAACGAAAATATGACTACTAAGATGGCTAGAGAGTAGTTCAGTACCTACAAAGTTGAGTCTCATTTTAGTTTAATTAGTACCATCATCTTTAAAAAGGTTTTTAGAGTTTCTCCGGAAAAAGTTTTAATGGTTTACTATTCAACTACACTTACTGGAACGGTTCCTACTTAATCGTTATTATAATCAATAAAAAAAAAAATTGTTTCACCATCTCGATGTCCTGTGGGTCGGTTTCTACTGCGTTGAATCAGTATTTACTGCTAATTTAGAATAATAGAAATCTTTAGAATATAGCTCCAGACGATCAATCGTCGGGAAATCCAAAAAAAACTGCTCAATTAAAGTTTTGTTAAGCATTTTATTATTTTTTATATTCTTTTATTGTTTTTCATTGTATATTATTTTTATTTTTTTTACTTCTTCTTCTTTAAACTTAAACTTAAATTACATTGATTTTGTTTTATCACTCAGCTAAATTATGATACATAATTTTGATATTTATATTCTACTTTTATCAAGTATTTGCTACAAAGTCGAAATTTTAACAACTTACATTATACACAGACAAATGCAGACAAGCGATAACAATGTATCATATTGATACGAACAGTAAAGAAAAAAAAATTAAAATCAAATAAAACGAGGTAAAACTACACTACTGTACAGAGCACCCACGTATCTAATGCTGTGACTCAAGTTGTGTTGAATTGCGTTTCTCCGGTGAAGGCTTTGGCTGTGGCTCGTTCCATGGTTGCACTTCGGTGCGACCGAAGAGGACGAACATCAAATTGCCGATGAAATAGAAACCGCTAGCAATGAAGAAGATGATACGCCATTGACCTGCATCACGCTGAAATAAGAATATTTACATTTGAATTGAATTCATTATAAATATATATTTATTATATAATATATTAATAATTATAATTGGTCAAACTATTTACCTCATCGGTGACGATGAAGCCGACAATCAGCGGCGCTATAATACTCATAATATTCGCCGCGCAATTGGTGATACCCATCAATATGCCGGCATAGTTAGGCGATAAATCTATGTGATTAACCTGGAAGCCCAAATAAGTTGAGGCATTGATGCCAACAGTTACGGTGAGTAGTACGATGGTCCACGTGGCATCATCCGTGCTGACATAACCCAAACCAATTAGCGATATCACTGGTATCCAATGGCCAATCGAATTGAAAAGTTTCCTGCTCACTGACAATGGCATGCATTGATTCTTATTCAAAAGCGATGAGATGCTCGAGAAGACGAAGCACATGAGGAACATAGCAAAATAGGGCAGGGCAGAGAGTAGCGCATTCGATCTGATATTCATGTTAAATACATTCTGCATATATGTGGGTATTTCAGTGAGCAGTGTCCAGAAGCCCCAGTTATGTGTGCTATGTGTCAAAATCAATACTAAGAATGCGGGAGTGGTGAAGAATTTCACCCATGGTGTACGCACTGGTGCATGATGCTCTTCAGCAGCATCAACACCAATTGATTGTTCAATGAATTTCTTCTCTTCCGGTGAAATCAATTTGGATTGTGCCGGTGAACTAGAACCCCATATGAAAAAGGCAATGGCCCATATAACACCAACACCACCAGACAGATAGAAAATGCTGGGCCAACCTAATGCCGATGAAGCGATCACACCGCTTGTTGCCATCATAACAACGGTACCGAATTGTGAGCCCGAATAACAGTATGTGCCGATGTTGCCACGCTCCTCAATTGGTGCCCACTGCGAGAGTAACGTATGTGTTGAGGGAAAGATCATACCCTGGCTTAGACCTTGTGCGACACGTAACGCACACACCAACTGCCAACCGCCAATTTGTGCAAAAATGGGTGTCAATATGGCCAGTACGGAGCAGATCAGAACGCCAAAGAGCAATGTCGTCTTACCGCCAAATTTACGCGCCAATGAACCACCGGGTACCTGTGTAATAATGTAGCCCCAGAAGAAACTGCTCAGTAAAAGTGATCTTGTCCTTTCATTCCAATCAAATTGCTGTCAAAAAAAATTAAATATTTAGAAAAAGGATTTAAGAAAGTTAATAAATAACAAGTGAACGTTGAAGTTGTGCAATGCGAAATGAACTTTTTGAAATACTTTTAAGTAACAGTAAGCTCCAGTTGGTAACTGTAAGAATTGAGAACAAAAAGCTGTCAAATATACTGCTAATATGACGTCATCAATACAACGAATACTGATATTTCGACTCAGACAGGACTAAAGGTGCCTCTATAAGCGCAACTGCTACATTCTCTTTGTTACGTGGTTTACTTACCTCAAAATCTGGATTTTCCGAGTTGTCGGTCATAACGACAATGGCAACTGATAGATTGACACGCAACGCATAGGCGACTGATAGACCAGCGAAGATGAGGAAGGCTTGAAAATGGCGAATACCAAAGCCCATGCAACCTAAAAGTAAAGAGAGAAATGAATAATTATATTGATAAAATATTATTCGAGTGAAATAATATCTTATACTAAAATAAAGCATATAAATTAAACTACAAAAAAGTTTCAGTCTGTAAGCAATGCTCTATTTTGTAAACCCCCAAATAAAGTCTATACAAATTTACCAGATCACTGCCATCACTTCTTGCATACTTTGCACATTATGCTAATTCGATTTAAAGCCGACATAGAATCTCGTATCAAAATGAATGCAGTCAAAAACATTTTTATTTTATTTTAATACTTCAACTGCTCTTCACATGCGTCTTCGTTTGATAATGTAAATAAACTGATAACAAGAATGTATGTATTTGAACGTATATCAGCATTAAAAAAAATTATTCAGCTCTTTTACTGTCTTGTTATTTATAGTACTTAAATATTGAAGGAGATTTAACGCCGAGGCTGTGGAAATCTTCCATTGACTATAAAGAAAAAGTATATATTTAAGTGTTTTAGCTTACCAATACATTATACAAAAACCTTAACAAAACCTAAGCAATTCGTCCAATTGATAAAATAAGGTCTGCAGTGCGACCTACAACCTATTGTGCCCTACTCGTTCATTATGTCTTAAGCTACTATTTTTCTTTTGGTGTAAATAATGCTCCCGCATTAGGTTGCTTTTGAACTTTGGATCAGAAGAAAAGTGTAAAAAGTGTTCACTGGGTGCAACAAACATGAGTAAAGAATAAATATCTAGGTATACAATATATATACTATATAGATATATTTGGTGTATATTTGCTAAAGACAATTGGTACAGCCAAAAGTCAGCCTAAAAATTGACAATTGCTTAACCATTTTTTTTTTATAATTTTAAAAATACTTGAAATTCCGTTTTTTTATGAACTGGGTGAGAATTTCATAGCCAAATGCACTATATGTGTGTAAAACAAGGATATTAAAAACGTTATAGCACTGTTTTGTGTGCGGAAAGTGATTTTACTTTCACAATCTATGTAAAAATATTTTATTTGCATAAATTCTATTTAAAAATAATTTTTTAATAACGTTTTTTCGGTGTATTTTAGTATTAACATTTTTATTCATTTTTTATTTTAATATTTCTGGAACGATTACTGATATTATTACAGATAAATTAGTAAATGAATAAATATATTATTTAGTACGTAATATATTTTTCTTGAGGCTAAATAATTTGTACAAACTTGGTATTCAGATATTCAGAACACACCCACAATTGGCCTCACCTTTAGTTTTAATTAACTAATAATTATATTAGTTATTAATTATAAGTGTTCGCATTATCAAAAAAGGCAACTTAATGCAGTTAATACCATAAACGCGTCACTCTAAAGCGACCCTGTCGGAAATCTCTAAGAAAAAACTTTAATACCTTGCTTTACAAATTCTTAATTTGCGTGTTATTAGAATGATTTATGTCGACTATGTTCATATAAAAGATAACATATTCAGTTCCTATTTTGATCACAGTCGTTTCGTATCTGCTTGGCTGTTTGATATTATACCAAAATTTAAACAAGTACCATAAATTAACTAAATTTCATAAAATACTAAAATTTATCAAAATATCGAACTTACTTATATACTAAAATTAAATAACATCGAAATATAAAATACAATAGCATATATTAGAATGTTAGCTCACTGCGTTTTGTTAAAGCGTATCGAACAGCAACTGGTATAAACCCAACAGACTGCCATAATCAAATGGAGATAAAATAGTAAATGTTTATACCACACTAATAAGGCACGTAAAGAGATTGGTAGAGCATAAAGATACTATTGACTGCAATTGAATATCTCTATCGTTGCTTAACATAAAATTTTTTTGACAATAGCGAACAAAGCAGAGCTCAACATGGGGAGCAGAAGTAGCAAATCGAAGCTGTCCATTATAAAACCATATGTAAGTTCAAAGCAGACTCTATGCAACACATATGAGAAAATTAATATCATTTACCCATACCTATGACTTATTGATCTATATATCCTATATATTATTCATATAAATAAAAATTTTATGCGAAAAACCACAAGAAAATTTATTTTAATTTGCGGAAGAATATGCGTAATATAACAGTAGTAAACAGCCCTGAACCACAAATATAAACTACGTACATCTTTATTTACATTTTCAACTGAAACAACCAAATATTATCGATCAAATTTCAAACGTCACAATGTTGTGGTTATGTGGTTTCAATAATTAAGTTCCTATTTATGCATTTATGTATGTGCATATGCATAGTAATTACATAAAGATGGAATATTAATAATTATTATGAAAACACTTAAATCATTCTTATTAAATAATCAATAATAAACGACGTTAGTGTTTTGTTTACCCGAACGCTTGTTTTGTGTTCATGTTTTCAAAAAATAAGAGTTAAAAAGAATAAGAAATAAGAAGAATGCAATAATATTTACGCTTAAATGAGCAATAGATTTTTCAAAACGATTTTTCTTTGAAATACGTAAGTTGTGTGGAAAAATTATCTTACTTGTAGGTTGCTCTTTTTTCCATTGCACAGGCAAAAAATTTGCACTTTATTAAAGCGATATTAATTTTTTGATCTGTTGTGATTATAAAAGCATTACTTGCAATTAATACGGAAAAATTAAAAGTGAAAAGCGCTTAATTTGCTTATGGCAAATATTTGTGCGCTGTCTAAAGCGGAATGTGAGGCACTTTCAGTTGCTTATCGTCATTTCCGTTAATTAATCGCTTTTGAATTTTACATTTATTTGGTCTAAGAGTAAGTAGGAGTGTGATATTTTTTTGTAGGTTAGATAATGTGCGTCTAGTAGATCAACGTACACATACACAAAGAAACACATGTAATACAATACTAGTTTTGAACAATAATGCACAGAAATATACAGTTATGTACATAAAAAGTGCACAGGTGCCTTTTGTTATTGTTATTGTTTATACTTATGAATAGAAGCAGCACAAGCGCAAAAAAGTAGCAATTTTTCAAGACGGAATCGTTATCAATGGAAGAGAAAAGAATTGTTGTTGACAATAGATTGTAGCGCGTTTTAGCACAAGCGTTGAAAATGTAGTAATACTGTTTGAAATAGTTAATTAATAATTGGAGTATGAGTTTTGCTAGTGTTTGTAGTATTATTAATTAAGATGCTGGTCTTAGTTTTTAGAGAAGCAAAGAAGATGTGCTCACAATTACACTAGTTTACAATCATTTTGCGACTGTGATGTTAGAGGCTATTTTCGGCTAGTTATGAGTTGCAAAAACCAAAATTGATACTCAAAATTTCCTAACAAGCAGGATTTTTTTTTTGGTCAAGTGGTGTAGTGGACAAACCAACACCATTTCTAAAATGACAAAAATAGCTGTACGATGATGGAAAAATTTTGAACTCAAATTCGTAATCAGGCCACCTCAAATACCCTCACCGTGTTCTTAGCACATCAGTCGCAAATTTTTCCTTTAGATTTGTTGAATAGTGTTATATATAAAGTTGGGTTTTTAAGCATTTCGTAATTACTTTTTCATCTTAAATAAGCAATTTTATAATTTATTGTTACAAACATTTTGTTGTTAAGTGTAGAAAGATAAATAAATATTAAAATTAATTATTAAGAATAAAATCTGCTATATTTCCATAGAAAAATGGCTTTTTTCTTTCTAAATTCTATAGAAATATATTGTTATATGCATACTTATATAAATTCTTTTGCTTTAAATTTTGAGTTATCAATACGTTTTATTTCAAATAAAAAATAAGTTTCTTCAAAACCTTGTATGAAAAAATTTTTATTTGACAAATTTGGCAAACGGCAACGCTATGATTTCCAAATAAATTGTTTAGAACGGACCACTATAGCATATAGTTGTCATACAAACGGACCGCACGAAATCAAGACCTTGTATGAAAAAACATTATTTGACAAGATACCCTCACGAAATTTGGCACACATTACTGTCCAAGGCAACACCACAATCTCCGAACATAATATACAGATCGGATGGCTATAGCGTATATTTGCCATGCCAACTGACCGTTCGAAATCAACACAGAGATCTATTTGCTCCTTTATGCTGTAAAAACGCGCCTGTGAAGATGTTTTTATTTCTTGTTTTTGTAAAAATATTAAGAAATATTAATGGCATATTTTATATTAAGTACTTTATTTTAAATACATTATTTATCGAATATTTTATAAACAATATTTTCTACTATCGACTTTTTTCAAATAAATTTTTTTTATATATATATTTTTTTAAATAAAAATTACTATAAACTTAAAATACAGATACCACATATGTGCCCTCTTATACCTTATTCGAATAACAAATTTAAGCCCCAAGGCATTCGCTAACATAAAAGCTCATTAACACCAAATCCACTTCATACCTGTGTCATCGAATCGGCGATTTTTCGGCATTTTGAATGTTTGTTTAAAAAAAAGATTTCTTGTAATTATATTACAAGAGAGAATAACCACGAAAGCACTGTCTTGTCGGTAGCAATTATTAACTGTTACAATTTAGTGCATTTACACAACAACCTAACCGCACCAGACCTGCACTCGAACTGATCACTGTGATCGATTTCCGATAAAGCAAGTAAGTTAAGAATCAGCATCAGCAAGCCTGTGGGCCGCCAACGCGCGGCGTAGTGTCAAAAGCCAAACCGCATTTAAAACACACTTGTACTATCGGGGGGTTTCCTCCTCTTCATTAAATTAATACTGCATGAGTGTAGGTGTGTGGTTTTTTTTGTGTGAGCATGTGTGTGTGTGTTAGAATTAATGCTTTGTTTTTTTAATCTTTTCTGGCTCAGTCTCAAGCCGAACGCTGTCTCTATCTTTCTACGGCTACAGTATTTATGTGTATAATACACTGACAACTGTCAATAATTTGATTAAATGACTGACTGGCGCTTCAAAGCGCGCCTCTTATTATTGTTAGGAACTTAGACAGGCGGTTGGAGGAACGTATGTTAATAAAAACAAACAATAAAAAATGAGTAAGGGAAATAGTTTGTACACGAGTGGCACATTTTCTTTAGTGCCTTAATATCAGTTTCCGCTGTACACCTTATTATCCCATCGCAAGTGTAAGCAAAAACATATCTATATATGGTATTCATATGTAAGCATAACACACAAGTAGCAGGGTAACTTTCTGTGCGTATATGTATGTACGAGTATGCACTTGCTCCATTTCACCGTGTCAAGCAGATTGCTAGTGGCGATTTCCTTATCAGCATAAACAAGTAGTCTATATGTATGTACTGTGACAGTTACATTATCAGCGACCGCCAATCAATGAAGTGTGTAGAGCAATATGTTGTGGCATCGGTGTTTACCAGCTTATTGGGGATGCGCACTTGCTATGAGGTGACAATTTGGAGTTGTCTCTCGGTATGACTGGTACCAAATGAATGGATTTGGAAACTGCTTGACGTAAAGCTATTGAAATAATTGTTTATCGAAAATTACTAACCAATAAATTTGATTTTTATCGATACGTTTAATATCGATCTAATTTTTAAATAACATAAGCAATTGAAGTAATTTTTAAGTTTATTTATCGATATTTTTTAATTTTTTATCGATAAAACCAATGTCGGTAAAATATTTCATTGATAAATTTTATTTTGAAAAATTTTCAATTGACAGTTGTGGGCCTAAATTAAATTTCAAGTAGGCACCTCTGATCCAATACCCTACTATTATTGCTAACTACGCGACCGTTTTCAATAAATTTTATCTTACATTAAATAAGTTTATAGTACATTGTAAAGTACCGAATATAAGCAATTAAAATAATTTTCATCGATAACTTTTATAGACAAATTTAATACTGAAATAATGGTCTATCGATAAATTTTGTATTGGAATAATTTTTCAACGATAAATTTTATTTTGAAGTATTTTTAACTGAACGTTGTATGTTTCAAATAAATTTGAAGTAGTCAACACTGATACAGTACCTTAAAATTATCATCTAAGCCTTATATCAGCAAAACTTTCGAAAAAAAATTTTCTGAAATCTTACATATATGTATATAACTGCTAATTTGTACATTGAAATTTACTGGATATACAGTAATTGAAACAATTTTATAATAAATTCAATATCGAAATAATTTTAAGCAATAAATTTAACACTGAAAAAAATTTGTATCGATAAAATTAATATCGAAATAAGTTTTGATCAATAAATTTAATTTTTTAATATTGATCGTTGTGCGTTTAAAATCAATTGCAAGACTTCAGCAAATTTCCTACACCTTCAATCAGCTTTTTAAAACTATTCTGAAAAGATTATTTTGCCTTCAATGAGGATCACTACTAACCCAGAAGGTACTACATATCATTTTTCGTGAATAGTATTTACTTTACATATACCTATATGCTTAATGATATTTGTATGTACATAGTCCATATAAATTACAAATTCTTACACATAAATATAAGCTTGCTATATTTATTATTAATAAGTTAGTGACAAGCCCATCACTAAGTTAAATACATATTCATATATATGTGTATGGGTTATTGTGTGCTGTGAATGAAATAGACACACCTTCTTTTAGTTACAACAACAGTGAATACATTCCGCCATCACACATTATTTATATATAATATATGTATATATGTATGTATGAGCTTTGTTGATCGCATATGTGTATTAAATTGAACTATATGCAGCAATATGCTGTGTAGCTTAGTCGCTTTTTCGCATCGAAATTGTCAGCCACTTTTTGCTTACTTTATAATATAAATCTTAGTGCAATAAAATGCTGATAACACTGCTCAACAAAATTTCTCAGACGCCATTGCAGCAATTAATTAGTACGTACTTGATGAACTGAACATTGGACGTCGGTTCTGCATCTCAATAAGTAAATGTATAATGCACTTATATATAAGTACATATAACAGAATTTGCTGCACTGTATTCATCTTGTCTGATTGACAGTATTTTCTTATTTTTAAATTTCTTACTTATTTTTACATGCCGCGGTTATATGTAGGAGGTATTTATTTGTCTTTCGTTATCATTTCAGGGATCACCAGTGATTTAATGCGCATTATGTGTTTCAGTTTCAGTAAAAATTTGTAAGTCTGCTTGTTACAATTAATTTATATATGTTTGAATACACAGATGTAAGCATGTACTCGTATGTATATGCTGCGCATTTTTACAATTACGGGAGTAAGTTTCTTCCGTAGAAATCGGTTGCCATGCTACAGCTTAGCGGTGCAATAAGGTTGACGACTTGTCTAAACAGCAGATTAATTGGGGCTTGAGGTTTATAAAAAATCAATATAATATTAATAATGATTTATAATTAATTATTAAATGTTGTTGAATATTAAAAAATTAGTTCTTTGGAATTTATACCTCGAACAAAGTATATTACGCAGTTTATGGCACCCGAAAATATATATATACAAGTGATCACTTGATCGCAGTTCAGTCGATTTAGCCCTGTCCGTCCGTCTGTCTGTATATACGCGAATCCGTGTAAAGAAAACTTTTTTATTTGAGAAATTATCTACATGAAATTTATCACAGATTATTGACAGAGGCAAGGCTGATATCTTTTAACATAGTTTTCAGATCGGACTACTATAGTAGAGCTGCCTTACAAACTGAACGATCGGAAATAAATGCTTGCATGGAAAACTCTCTAATCTGATATCTTCGGGATATCTTCACAAAATTTAGCATAGATAATTGTCTAAGGTAGTAATGCAATCTCAGATCGAATCACTAGCGTTTAGCTGCCATACACACTGACAGATAAAAATCAAATTCTTGTAAGAAGTCTTTTGTATTTGTGAAGGTTATTATAGCTTCGGTGCAGTTGAAGTTAGCGTATTTTCTTGTTTTTAACTTTAAATTTGACTTTTATGAAGAAACATAATTATTTACTATTTTAGCATAATATTATATGTATATGGAATATTTATGCAAAAAAAAAATCAGACAAAGTTATAAATTCAGAGACAAATAAAAATTTAAATTTTGAGAATATTTTTACTCATAAACAATTGATAGTTGTGTTACCACATATATATTGCAAATTCGTGTGTGTGTGCGCTTAATAGTGCCACGCGCACTTAGCTAGCACCTTATCAAAATTTCCAGCTCGCTAAAACTGCTTTCACATTAATTTAAAAATTGACGATGATGTCTGACAAATTTACACTCAAATATCACGCATTATAAATTTATTTGGAGTCACTGCATTGACATCTTCACTGATCAGCTTAACACCTGACACCACGGTTCAAGCGAATTAAGAATTATTTCAAATGACTGCATAATGCCCACACATATTGTGATGATTAAATATACGGACATATTTATATATAGTATATACTAAGCATATACTTTAACAAACAGTAAGCAGTTTTTAAAGGAAAAATTAAATAAACTTGAATTAATTTTGATTTTATGTATTATATATATTACATACATACATATACAGGTTGATTGAAAAGTTGGTTGGTCTGACCAAAAAAATAGCACAAGTTGGTACATCTGTCATAATAACACATGCAAAGTTACAAGTCATTTGTCAATTAATTCTTTGTTTAAAGTTGACGTGCCAGAGTATTTTTTTAATATGTAAAAAATTTAATATCGCGCAGTGATTAGATTCTTAGTTTGAAAGGTTTAAAGGCAAAGGAAATTTATGAAAAATTTGTTAGAAGTGTATAAGCAGTCCTCACTTTGTTTTTTTTTAAACGCAACGTTGAATTTAGGGCTGCTGAATTTAAACGTGGTCGTACAAGGCTTGAAGACAATCCACGCGAAGGACGACCAAAAACCGCAACTACACCAGAAATCATTGAGAAAGTTCCTAATATTGGTATAGGTTATGGCATCAGTTTTTTTGAATGAAAAATGAATTTTGTTGATTGATTATCTACAGAAAGTTAAAAAAATCAACTTTGAATATTATTGCAACCTTTTAGACTAACTGGATGGAAAAATCGTGAGAAAAGACCTGGTTTGCAGCTCAAAATAATAATTTTTCTGTTTACAAATGTGTTTAAACAATGACAAAATTCAACGAATTAAAGTACGAATTGCTTGAGCATTCACCGTATTCATCAGATTTGGTTACCAGTGACTACTACCTCTTCAGAAACCTAAAGCAATTCCTTGGTGTAAAGCGTTTTTCGTCGTCTGAAGAAGCTATTACAGCCATAGACGGGTATTTTGCAGAGCTTCCGGAAAGTCATTATAGGGAGTTATTGGAATATCATTGGAATAAGTGTATTGGGAAGTTAAGGGAGATTATATTGACTAAAAATATATGTTTCGTACCAAAAACAGTATTTTTTCATTTCGAGCACAGAAACCTTTTAAACCAACCTGTATAAACATGCTTATGCAATTTTTTTTTTTTGTAACGTCTTAAATATAGCCTAATCCAAACTAAAGTGGCTTATCAAAATGTTTAATATTTTTAAAGCTCCAAAAACAGAACTTGCTAAATTTAGATGGGTAATTTCTTAAATCATCAACGCTTGTTTGTGTGTAACATGTAACATATAAACAATAAGCGAGGTTTGACTTTGAGCTTGGAATCTTTTTTGAACTTAAGTTGAAAAACACTTTAATTTGCGGTCATTTAATTTGAAAATAAATTCATTATCAGCTTATCAATTTTATTTAATTTCAGAATGATAATAAAATGAAATACATTTTAGTATGCACTAGGAAAAATTTTTGAGATTAGAATATTAATGACTTAAAGCATTAATTCAAAAACAAGTTCCGATTAAAATATCTTCAAACAAGCCGTCTTAGTTCGCAAATTTCAATTATATATTAAATGAGTTAGTGGAATGTCATGCAAAAAAAAATTTCAAAGAAACAAGCCATTGAAAAAAGAAAAAG